AATGACTGGGTGGGTTCATAACAAACCAACAGAGACAGAAAGAAGTACTATGCAAGTTGGTTATGAGCTTGGTGGAATTCTATTTATAAATAAATGTTATGCTGAATTTAGGTGTTGCATAATATATTTTCCTCTTATGGTTTTTTTTCCCCTTTTGTTCCCCATACCATCATACCAACATCCCCTTATCTTTTTCCTTACACACTCCTTCTTAACCTCAGAGGCACCCGGATATTTCTTGATATTCACTGGTTTTACAAAGTGTTTTGCAAGTTATCAAATTATGTACTATGTAAAAGTCCAGTATTTGTTTTTATTGTTCTGACTTTGCTACATATAATTCTCTCAAATTCCTTCCATTTTGTTGAAAATGGGGGCATTTCATCATTTTTCATGGCTGCATAATACTCCGTGGTGTGGCTCTACCACTTCTTGATCCAATTGCCCAGTGATGACATTTAGGCTGCTTCCATGTAAGTTTCACACATCCTGGCACCCCCAGTTTATATGTTCATAATTGTTTTCTTTTTGGGGGTTGAGCTTATTTGACATTTTATTTTCTAAGTAGATGAATGAATCTAAACCACTAGCTTTACTATTGTGTTCCTTTTAGTACAAGGAGCTCAGTCAATCATTATAAAGGTACAGGCTATATTTATTTATGGCACAAGGGGTTCTTGAGTAACTAAGATTAAGGAGGTAAGTAGCAGGTACCCATAGAGTTTAGACGTTTATGTCTCTCATAGTTTCCTCTCCTGGGAAGGGAAGGCCGGAACTATTTGTATTGTTTCCTTGGTAATAGGTAAACACAAGGCCATTTCCTACTGCCTTGCCTTGAATTTTCTGACTTGACTGGACCTGCTCTCCCCTTTCCTGACAACCATCCCCAGAATCATCTCTGAAACTTTTCTACTTTAAAAGTCACCAATTTCTTCAAAAACTTTGCCCTTTCAAATATCTGCTGTAATTGCTCCCCCACTTCATTTCTCATTGTCTTTGGGAGACCCAATGCTAGCTGGCATAAGCACATTTACAGATTAACTGTGTTTTACCCACGGTAGTCCTAGTCAGGATAAAGTCTCTAGGGCCCAATACTCAAATATATTCAGAATGAAAGTCAGAAACCTGGGGGAAAATATTTAAAGCAACTAAGAGAAAGAACAAGTTCCTATTTCTATTAAACATGCTTCATTCCAGTGATGAGCTCTGAGACATGGGTTCATCAGCTAACAAAATGTGGGCTTGCCAAAACACAAAGTGTAATTAATAAAACAGACATATGGGGTAAGTTCTAGTCCCACTACTTATCAAAGAAGTGTAGCATATTTTATCAAGCAAAGAAAATAAAAATTCTTAAAGAGAAAATAACCATTCGGAATTATAAATATGGTACCTTCAAAAATACTAAATCCAGAAGATAAAAATAATCATATCTCATCTTCCAAGGAGGTAATGCCAGTCTTCTGCATTGCTGGCATGAGTAATAGTGCTACAGCCATTTTGAGAAGCATTTCGGAAGTTCGTAAAAAGAATCACCAAAATATTTTGACTCTTCAACCCAAAAGTTCTACTTCAGTGTCTGTCAGTGGTGCTGTAAAAATAGCGTATGCACAATGGTGTTCATTACAGTGGTATTTATAGGGTAAAATCTCAATGTTCTACGCCAGAGGGACAGTATATAAATTATGGAAAGCGTGCCAGTTTGAATATATGCAAATATTGAGTGATTGCTCCAAAGGTGAGTAATGTTGGAATTATATAATCATTGCTTGTTTTTTTTTTTAAGATCATGTATGCATTATGTCTTGTAATGCATCTTTAAGCACTTATGTAAATCAGAAATCTAGGGCTCTCCTTGACATGTCCCTAACTTGCCAATGTCAGCTCATCACTTGGGGGGTGACTTTTACTCACTGAGTACCTCTGATCACTTTCTCTGTTTCCTCTGCTTCCTCACCCCCACCCTGGTCTAAGCAAGTACCTCTCCTTGAGACATTCTCAGCAGCCTCTCTCCTCTCCTGCTTCCTGCTAGAATCTACTCTTCATCTGCAGTAGGATGATCTGGAAAAACGCAAATTAGATGTGTCGTACCCCCCTACCTGTTGTTGCCTGCCATCTCTGCTGCTATGGGCCTTGTATCCGTCTGTCCCTCAGATAGTGAGCTTTTCCCTCAGATAGTGGGAGCTCTCTCTGCTCTGCTCTCCACTGGCCCCAGCATCTGCACCACAGGAGACCGTCCCAATGTACAATGAGTATTTTATGACAAACCTGAAAATACAGAAAAAAAAAGAAGAAAAATAAAATCACACCAAAAAGGGAATAGTGGTTGTGTTAGTGTTGTGAAAATATCATTGCTTGTTGTCCTCTATCTCTAAGAAAAGCATTTAAGAGAAAAAATAACAATATAAATAATTCACAATTAAACAAAAAGAAAAATAGCTCTCCTTATTATACTTACTGAATAAGCATAAAACAGGCTAAAAATAAAAATGATACCCATTAATTATTCACTCTAAGAGGCCGAATTGTTTTTGTTTTTTCCAAATGGTTGCCTAAATGGGTGTATCATCTTTACAGAATTCATAATCATAGATAAAATGTTGCATTTTGTTTTTTTCTGCTTCATGCTTTGTCATCTGTCTCCCCATTGTTACATTGCCTTTCCAATAATTGTTAGCAACGCCATAGTATTTAGTTAAATTAATGGGGGGGGGTGTATATCTTTAAGATCTATTTCCTGACTTGAAATTCAAAGTTATGGATATTCACGTACAGGTACAAATTTCTGACCTGTTGGCCGGGAAACTGGCAATGATGTCTGTGTGTGTGAGTGTGGCGTGAGCTCTTAAGGCAGAGTTAAGTGTGATTATTATGAAAGAGTCCCCATTATATCAAGTCTTTATGAGGAAAAGAAGTTATATTTATTAGGTTCCGAAGGCAGGTAGCCTTGCTTTCATCTGAAATGGGAGGGATGTGTTGAGGGTTGAAGGTGAGATGGTGCTGAATATTGGGGTCTGATCATTTGGGGTCTGAGCAAGTAGAGGCTGTGTACAAAGCTGGGACATTAAAAAGTAGGGTGCTTTTAGGTTGGAGGCAGTGGGTTCTGGTTATAAGCAGGAATCTGTAGCCTCTTAGACTGTCAGAAAGGAAAACAGGGCCTCCCAGGTGGCCTAGGGATTACATCTCAGCACTGCCACTATGAAGGCCCGAGTTCGATCCCCATCCAGGGAGCTGACCCACATGGCACAGCAGAACACTCCTGTCTCGCCTGCTGCTCCCCTCAGCAATGTATTTCAGTAGATCTGCCTGTTCTGCTCCCCACTCTGTCTCTGGTGAGTCCTTTCACCCCTTGCATCTTTGGCCTGCACCCCAGCTCTATGCAAAAATAAATAAATAAAATCTTAAAAAAAAAAAAAGAGGGCCTCCCTGGTGGCACAGGGCTATCAAGCTATCTCCAGCCACTGCAGCAAGAGTTCAATCCCCAGCCAGGGAGCTGAACCACATGGCACAGCAGACCTCTCCTGTCTCACCTGCTGTTCCCGTCAGCAGTGGATTTCAGTAGATCTGCCTGTTCTGCTCCCCACTGTCTCTGGTGAATCCTTTCACTTCCCTACCCCCACACCTCTGGACTACACCCCAGTTCTTTTATGCATAAATAAATAGATCTTTAAAAAAAAAAAAAAGGAAAGACAGAAAAATAGCAATAGAGACGAATGACCAGGTAAGGGGAGGGTGGCAATGGCAAGATGCAAAACTCCAACGTGAATTACGTGGGCTGGACAAACCGATGGCTGCCTGATGCTTTTCAAAATGCAAGTCTGGGCAGGATGGCCTCTGGCTTCCTTCTCAATTATTTTATAAAATGACAGTATCATGGCCCCAAGCAGGAGCTTGAGTTGCAGCCATTCCAGTTCATTGCCTTTAACCCCAAATTTGCCACGTTGCAGCTCTGTGGCTCACCAACTCCTTTCAAAGTTCCCTAACACATATTTCACAGGAGACCGTGGGAAATCACTATAGAGGCTCAAGAAATTCTTTCCTAAATAGCAGAACCTCCCAAGTTTGGGACCCAGCAAGCCTGGCATTCCCATCAATACTATGCCAGACGCTCCCTTTATGAGATTTGTCCTCATGTTCTTCGAACTCCTCTCTGTTCTGTTTGCCTCATTTGAACATTGTTCAAACCCTCTGGAATAAGCCCCTCTCATTGCCAAACAGTTCTAGAGACCTCCTAAAATAGAACAAAATGATCTGCTTTTGTAAAAAAAAAAAATTATAGCTACCAATGATTTCAAGGACTAAGAGCAGCATTCAAAAGAGGGCAGGGGAGAAGGAAAAAAAGTAGTGGTAGAATTTCAGACCTCGTATTCTGAAGGTGTGGAGCAGGCCCATTTGAATTCTGGGTGGTCTTTCCTATATCTCAAATTGCACTGTCCCTTCCTACCTAAGCATTAGCCCTATGTTCATTCATGGGCTTTTGTGTGGAAAGAATTCATTCTCTGAGGCCATTATATTGAACATTTTCTTCCTGAATATGAGCTTTTTATCTTTGGCCACTACATGGGCAGGCAAGGACCCTTTCTGTTATACTCACTATTGAATCCCCATTGTCTACACCTGGTAACAACATTGTTCAATAAACATTTAATCTACGAATAAATGAATGTATGAGTAATCAGAATTAGAATGTTCCAGTTTCTCTGTGTCATTAAAATGTCTATCATTTAATTGCATCATTAGGTCAGGTTTTGGCACCTCGTCCTCCCCTACTTGAAGAATAGTTCAACTCTAGCGAAAACTTTTAGGTTGTTTTCCTATTTAAAAGAATACAGCTCAAATATGCACACAGTGGAGAAAAAGAAATTCTGACTCTGGCTAGTTTCCTCCCAGCCTTATAGATTATGCAGCTCCTTCCTGAGGTCAAGTTTAACTCATCACATGGGTTTGCTCTTGATATGAAGAACCTTAAAGATTGCATTGATGTTTTTGTTTTATTTCAGCAAACTCCAGAAGACAAAAAGGGATATCAGATGGCTGCAAGGAGTGACCGGTGAATGGTTTGAAGAAATTCAAAGAAAAAAGTTTTGCAACGAAACAGATGTCAGCCAAATGTTAAAGCCGCCACTAACATACAGGCTGAGGAAAGGGATGGCAGAAAATGGTGAGAGAAAAATATGAACCTGGTTTTTTTCTCTTCCAGCACAGAATAGTCAATAACGACTCAGTGGCTGTCCATCTCTGCCAGGACTCCTTTGAAAACATCAGGTGTGCTCACCTTAGCAGCACATGTACATCCTGCAAAGGCCGGCAGGCACAGTTGTGAGACATATCCATTTTGAACATCAGAAGGCACAAAAGTTTTAGGATACAACACACAGTAAAAAGTGTGAACTAAAACTGCCCTGCAGGAATGTCTGGGGAGTTTGCTTTTCGAGTCAGGCAGAAGCAGAGTGGCTAAAAATGCAGACGTGGCTGTCCAGAGAGCCTGAAATCAACTCTCCACCCCGTCTGTGAATGTAGTCGCTGCCTCCCAGAATTGATGTGACTCTGTCCAAGTTGCTTATTCTCTATGAGACTTAATGTTCTCATCTTTATATGGGTCTAATTTCTACCTCAGAGGGGGCATTGACGAAAATTATATGTATAAAGTACTAAACATGAACACAGTAAGCACTTCATTCACCAGAGGCAGAAAAGTGCATTTATTGAAATACTGTGTAAGGGAGCAGGAGTAAGATAGGAGATGTCTGCACAGGAAGAAGGACTTGGGGCTCCCTTTATAACCTGCTTTTGTGGACTTTTTCATGACTCGGGGAGTCAGTCTCTGCCTGTTGCTATCTGCTATCTGTGAGCCTTTCACAGGAGATGCCCAGCCTGGTTCTGTCTGCCCAGTCTCCACATGGGCCCCTTTTTGGGACCCAAGGACAGATTCCCATGGCAACTTTGTCAGTTTCCCTTTCTGATCGCTTGTGTGTCTCCTGGCATTGTTCAGCTAAGCAAAGTGCAGAGACTTAAATTTTAATCAACTCTATTAAATTTTAATCAACTCTATTAAATGATACCCCGACACCACAGGGGAGACACTGAGAGATTCACGCAGTTGACATGAGGGGCCACTTTCTACAGAACTGTGGAGTGGGGTACACACTGAAAGCTCCCTTCTCTGCAATAGTACTCCTCTGTTAGAACCATGGGAGGCACAGGACTCCCCTTAGTCCCTGAGGCCTTCCTGGGGGGATGGTTGTTGCATTTTAGACTGCATGAGGGTAGGGGGAGAAGTGGCCTAAGGAGGCAGCCTTAGTTGCCTGAGATCTAGTTACCTGGAAATATTTTAATGATGCCAACTTTTTACAAAATTTTCTTCTAGATCAGACATCAAGATCTCAACATATACCTAATCAAAGAAACCCATCATCAGTTGCCTCTAGACTGAGCTTCAGATCCTCATTTGCTTCCCTGTTCTCATTCAAAAAATCCCGAAAGGAGACTTTAAAGCTTCCATCCTTGGCCCCGAAAGGGTGAGTGAAATTCAGCTCAGAGAAGACCTCTTTAGTTATCCGATCCTGGAGGCCAGCAGCCTGCTTTGTATTCAGAATGTTTAATGTTTGTTCTTAGTATCTAAATTCACTTAGTGACAAAGGAAACAGGACTTAGCTTGCATGGGGACAAAGTCCTTTTGAAAACTTGAAACTGGGCTCACGTGAAAACCAGCTTCTAACCAGCTACTCCGGTCAGTCCCCGCCAGTACTCTTGGTGAATGGATGGGTTAAATGTTGGGAAATAATTATTGACTGTTTCTCTACCGCTCCGAGAGCAAGAGCCTGGTCTATGCTTGGCCAGGAAGATATATTTACATCAAAACTATTCCTTTCTTGGGGAGTTTGTGTGTCTGTGGTCACAAGGAGAGATGGATAGAGACTGAATGGGAGTAAATGAGACCAGCAAGAGAGTCGAGATAAATTTTAAAGCATGGAAAATGTGTAGATCTGTTTCCAGAAATATTCAGAGCAGCCTTTCTGATCAGGATGCCCAGAATTGAAACTTAAAGTGACCGAGGGGGAGCTTCTGGAGTAAGGAAGACAGTTCCAGATAATTCCCTGCTCGGCATTCTGTAAATCAGTTCACCCTGACTCACTGTGCCGGGAGACTGTAGTGCACAAAACAAGCAAAGCTTTGCTTACTAGCAATTGAGCTGACGACTAAATACTTTGGGCTTGTCTTCCTGGTTGAAAAGCTTCCCACCCTCTTAAGGTGTTGCCTGCCACGTGATGTGTGAGCACTGGCAAACCATTCAGTGTGCACCACGGTGCTAAATAGGAGGTGTTGGAGGTCACTCTCCCCCAGAAACAATAGGTAGCCAGCTGGTGGGGCATGTGATGCAGCTCCCTGACCTGGAGAACCCAGCCCTGCTCTCCCCTCTCCGACAGAGGGGAGGTTTTTTGCTTCCAGTTTTCACCCAGAGGTTGCTTTTGTCTTTGATGAAATGACCAAGAACTGAACAAAATGTAGATTTATGTGACTCTCTCTCCCTGAGTTTCTTGCAAGCAAGCACTCTTCAAGTAGGTGAGTTGCTTTTCTTCCTAAATATGTTTGAAACTATAGTCGTTTTCTCTTTGGGGGGACTTTAAATTGAGGAGCATTTCCCTTATAGGAAATCTTTCTTTGAAAGAGAACAGAAATATTCCTACAGTGTGGTGTAGCTGCGATTTGTCATGTAATTTGTGTTTTTGGTAACTTTCTTTAAAGCAGAGTTGAATACAGCTGAACAAGCTAACACTAGGAAACTAGGCAAAGTTAACACTATGGGCACATTATTGCCAAGCCCATAGTGCAAGCTACTGCCAAAGTAGACCAGAAAAAATATAAAGATCTAGCATTCCCGGGGTGGTGTGGATTAGAAATCAACTTTAAAAATCTGAAACTCTTACAAAATTCTGTTTAGCAACGTATATAAACCCAGCTGGCTTGTCACCCCGCCATGTGTGTAGCAGTTCTCAGAATTTGTTGCTTTTAAGTCCACTTTACTTTTAAAACGTGAGAATAAATATTTATTCATTGTGCCAGGAAGTATATAATTTTTTTTTTTCTTTTGCTCTTACGTGGTTTCAGAAGACAAAATGTAAAAGCATGCCCTTTTTATTTTTAAGTACGAGTGTGGTCTAAATATGCAGCTGGGACTTTAATCCTGTGTGTGGTGGGGAGAGTTGTTTTTCAGGGGTTGTGCTGTGGTAGAAATAGAAATTGTGTGGCAAACACAGCAGGGAGCCTCCTGACTATTAAGTAGACCCTGTCCTTCTTTTAGCAGTTCTGATCTTTTGAAATACAAAAGCACTTTGAAAATGCTATCTGATCAGGAAGCTCCTCCATGCCCAGGGCGAGCGGGAGGCACTGGCGAGGGCCTCAGGCTGCTCCCTCACCGTCACTGTCAGGTTGTTGTCAGGTTTGTACTTGCTGAAGCCAGCAGAGCTCACTTGGTCACACACTGAGCTCTGGACAAGTCATCGGAGCAGCTCACAGGCTGCCTTCCAATCACAGAAAGAGAAGAACCTCTGTGAGCAAAGACCAGCTCTGTTCAGCCCTAAAAGCTTTGAGTATCCGCGAAATTTCTTTTCCTCCTTTAAGCTACAGTTGAACTGAGACATGACAATGGGGAGTGGGTAGCTTTTCCATAAGAAATGCACTGCAGTCACTTCACTGGACAGATTTGTTCATTCTAGGAGGGCCCAGCCCATAAACGTATAGGGGATGTTGACCCTCTGATTTCCTATTACCCAAGAGTAAAGAACTATGAGGATGCAGTGACTTCATGAATTATTAAAAAGCCTTGCCATTCCTGCTTCAAATAGGTGCTCCTCCCAATTCCCCACACTTCCCACATGACCCCATGATTATTTTAATCTATTTGGAAATGATTGAACTGTATCCTCTGTGACCCCCACCTTAACTCCAGGAAAATATTTCCTGCTCATGTTTTAATGTGTTTATTGCTAGTGAGTCCCTGTAAGTCAGGTCTCCTTTGTCTTGTTTGGGGACATCTCGTGCCTGTGACATATGGTGTTCACCCCAGCACAGAACGGCAGGAACTCAGTCACCTTACTCTTGAACAAGGTGATCCCCAGGCAAGCCTCCAACAGTGCACGTCAGTAGCTTCCAGGGGCAGCTACAGTTGTGCATGCTTCTTCCAGACCCTGGTTATTTCTGCGTTGCCCTCCCCGGCAGGGACAGGATCCGCCCACCACTCTGCGGTGTGCTCCAGCCTGCTCCACAAGGAAGTCACCCCTGCGAGGGAGCACCTACCCCCATGTCCATACACACTCAGAGCTGTGCGGCCATGTGCCACGGCTCATTTCAGGGGCTCTAGGGATGTGGATTTGCCACCCTCCTCTGTCCTGGCTCACCCTCCCGGGGCTGGGACGTGAAAGTGAAAGTACAGGGAGCATGTTCAGGAGCCTGGAGAGGGGGGTGTGCGATCATCAGAGGCTCACCGCTTTCACTTGCTAGCATGGGCCGTGCTCAGTGCAGGTCGTGATGAGAGAGGAGAGAGGGGCGCAGCTCCCTGCTGGCGGGTGTGCCTGCCACTGCCCTGCTCCTTTATGGAGAAAATCTCCCTGCTGCAGAGAGCATTGCTGGATCCACCTAGCTGCTCTTGAGACATGCCCCGATCTGCCTGCTCCACCGGGCATGCACCGCTGAGCCACCCACTGCAGATGTGGTGGGTGTGAGCAGGAAGGTCAGATACCATTTTGGGAAGAGAGAGGGACAGATCCTCGTTAGTTTTCTCTGGATTCTAATTGTTTTCTCTCTTCTCCCTCTTCCCCTCCCTCTCTCTGCTTTCCCCTCTTCCTCTCCCCACTTCCCTCTCCTCCCTCTCTCTTGTCTCCCACACCTTCTCTCTCAACTCCTCTCTCCCTTCCTCCTCCTGTGCCCCTCCCTTCCTCTTTTCAAACTCCCTCCTGTGCTCTCTGCTCCTTTCCAGGTGGAGTGCCCAGGTTTGGGTTGGCAGACACAGGAATCCTGGACACCTAGACTGAAGGAGAAGTCGTAGTAAGCAGGAAGCAAGGGTCCTTCTTGGGAAATGCTCCTTCACTGGTGCCAGATGCAGGGTGTGCAGATAACAGCAGGGTTGGGGTGACACGTAGGAGAAGCAAGACGAGGGGATCCGCTTTGATCTGCTTGATCATAAGAATCTCATCAGCAGTTTTTGGAAAATGACCATCAATTAGGCCCTGACCTTGAGGTTCTGATTCAGGAGGCCTAGAGAAGGGCCCAGGGAGCCCCATCCATTTATCTCCAGTTCTCCGGGACATCTAGATGCTCATTCGGGTCCTGGAACTACTGCAGTTAGTTTCTAATCCCGCCAGGGCTAGGCTATTAGCGCCAGGGGCACAGTGATGGCTTCCCTTTCACTTATTTGTCCGGCTTTTTCAAAGTCCTGCTCTAGATCAAATGCTGTGTTTAGAGCTGGAGATAAAATCATAAAAATATAGCAAAGCTCCTGCCTGGAGGACTTTATAACCTAGATGAGGATGCCGGGCTGCTGCACCCACTCAGGCAGGAGGTGCACCAGGGAGCTCTAGAAGAGCCCTTCACATGCTGACTAGGGCACTTTTCTGGCAAGTGTCAGTGGGGGATCTTGTGGGAAGGATGCCCTTTAGGACTCACACAGGGATGCCATCTGGCCTAGCAGCAACCTGGGTGACAGCTGAGTACATGATGACTGTGGTGAAAGGTAGCGAGCACTGTGGTGGCTTCGTGCCCTTCCTGCCGTGGACGTGCAGGACAAGCTCTGAGCTCACGTGGGGGCATCCAGAGGCTTATCTCCTGGAGGAAGGGTGAATTTTGGATCCATGGGACTGAAAGAGGCAATTAAGAGTCCAAGGGCTGCACCAGGCAGAAAGAATGACACAGCAAAGGTGCAGGGACCGGAAAGAGAGCAGGGACTTATCTAGGTTCACTGACCCGGATAAAGTGAGACTAATAAGGATGGGGTGGGGGAGGGTGAAAGAGGCAAGAATACAGTGCTTGAGACCTGTGGACACCAGGAGCCATGCATCATTGTCTCAAGGAACACCATTCTCTTCCTTGTTATATACATGTGTGCATTACATGTCCATATTATTACATGTATATGTTATATAATGTATATTACCATATGTGTATATTGTGACATATTCATCACATAATATATAATATAAGCACATATTACTCCCAGCCCACTAACCTGGACAAGCACTAGTATTTTAGTGTAGTACGTGCATGTGCATATGTATCTATTTCTTCCATTGATCGTTTTTCAACAGATAAGTGTCATGATTTGAGTTTTGTTTTAGAAAGACCACTTTAGCTCAGTGCTTCTCAACCAGGAACAATCCCCCTCCCTCCAACCCCACCCTTACCCCAGTCATTTGGGAATCTCTGAAGATGTTTCTGGTGTTCACACCTGAGGGCAGTGCTATTGGCGTCTACTTGGTGGAGGTCGGAGATGTCGACAGACACCCCGAGTGCCCTTGTTGCATCACCAGTACCAGTGGTGCCCAGGCTGGGAAGCTCTGAGGTGGAGGCAGGGAGAGCAGATAGGAGGGGGCAAGACTCACGTTTCAGGGGCCAGGCGAGAGATTGCTTAGAAGGAGGTGGCCTCAGCTAAGGTAGTGGCAATGAGGAGGGCAAAAGGAATAGATCTGTCCGCAGTTTAGAATGGAGAATTATGGGAAGCTGGTAACTGGGTGTGATGGGCAGGGGAGGTGACCTCTTCCTCTGACTTAGGACAGTAGGTTGGGACAAACTAAATAAGAATAGAAGAGGAGGAGCAGATGTGATGAAAATAAAAACAAGCGCATTTGCTTATTTATTCAACCAGCACTGCTCTAGGAGTGCCACATGCAGCTCTAGGAGCGCCACACACAGTCCTTGGCGTCACAGCTCTAGTCCTGTGAAGAGGGTGAAAAGGAAACAGCAGAACTCGGAAGAGCACTGAGATGGGGTGTCCTGTGCACTGGGAGCGCCTAGGAGGGGTGTGTGTTGGAGCAACGGCTCCAGTCCAGATAGGTCTCCTTCAGGAAATGGTGCAGGGAAGGAGTCTTCGAGGATAAAACAGTTATCCGGGCAAACAGGTGGTGGAATATGTTTTAGGCAAAGGGAAAGTGATGTTCACAGACTCAGAGGTGCGGCTGAGTCCCTACCGCAGAACAGTGTAGGACGGGGAGAGTGAGATGAGGCTAGAAAGTGTGTGGGGACTAGATCGCCCCGGACCTGAGGAACACAGACCAGAACTTGAATTTTCACCGGAAAGCAAAGGGGAGTCATTTGAATGGTAAGCAGGGAAGTGATAAGATTCCCCTGAGGCCCCGCTGGCTAACTGAAGTGGATGGGTTGGATTGAGGCACAAGTGGAGACAAGAGTTAGGAGCTATTGCAATGATAAAGGCAGGGGATGCTCATCGTCTTGACTGCCATAAAGGCATGGAGATGACATGTGATGGTTCTGAGAGGGATTTCTGGGCTTGAATCAACAGGAAATGCTGATTAACTGCAGAGGCAGGAATGGACATGGAAGGAGGACATGGTGTCCATCTCAGAAGTGTAGGGTCTAAATTGCCTGTGGTCATTCCCGGTGGAGTTATTCAATGACCAGTGGTGACAACATGTGCCACCAGCGCTTGGGGACATTGCCTGAGTTCTGGTTAGGAAGGAATTTTTTTTTTTTTTTAAATAATGTACTTGAGTCAAACTCTAACCTACTGAAGGGGAGAATTCCTGAGTGGCATCTGCAAAGCATGCAAACAGGAGAGCATAGTTTAGGGAGGTAAAGTAAATCTGCTAAGTTAGAGTTCCGGTACGTACAGAGAAGGGGAGTGTGAGGAGAGAAGACTTGAAAGGTGAGGAGTTGCCTGGGGAATTCACCAGATAAAAGAAGAGTCTCATGCCATGTGAAGATTTTGGATAATACCTTATGAGATTTTAAGCCGAAGACTGATGTGATCAAATTTATATTTTAGGCAGCTCTGTCTGTTGTTGGCGTGAAGGATGGAGAGGCGTGTAGCAGAAGATTTGTGAAAGTTTACGATGAGGCAGAATGAGTGGAAGTAGAGAAGTAGGGGTAGATGCAGAGATCTTTAAGACTTGGATCAGGAGGACATGTGAGCATGTGCAGAAGAGGAGGCAGGTTTGCATCCGGGTGACTTGTATCAGCCCAGCTTCCATACCACTGTTGTTTTTATTCACTCTACAAGTGGACGCCTTCACACCAGAAACATACATTACCTTGTTAATGTATGTGGCGGACCCGGGAGTGTGTGTAGAAACTCTGGGCCTCCAGGTGGATTGAGTAGCACACCCTGCCACCTAAGCCCGCAGTGACAAATGGCCTTGCACACCCTCAGGCGAGTGTGCATCCTCCCTCGCCAGCCACACACCTGGTACCTGTGGTGCTGTGTTCCACTCATGCTCTAGGTATCCTTTAAAGTCACATCTCCCTCCCACTGGCCACTGTCAAAAAGGAATTCCTACCCCCCCCCCCCCGCCTTCACTCTAGATGAGCCCAGGGCCACATGAGTTGTATGGGGGCCCCGGGAATGCCAGGCCCGATAGGGCTGTGCACAAAACCTGCACACCCGCCATGGTCACCTGCCTGCATGAAAATTCACTCACCTGCCCATTTCTCAAAATCTCACTTCCTCTTTCCCCCCTCCAGACTGTTGCTCACACTGTGCTTTGCCTCCTGTGCAACCCCCAACTTCTCCCTGTCGCCTTCCCTGTTCATCCCCAGGAGGTGCTCTCTGGTCGCTCAGCATTTTCAGCATATTTTGCAGTTGACTCTTGATCCACTGGGGAGGTTAGGGGTGCTTCCCCAGTAGAAATTCTGACTCCCCAAAGGCCTAACTACAGTCATCCCTTGGTATTGGTGTGAGATTGTTTTCAGGCACCCCTGTACCAAAATCTACAGATGCTCAAGTCTGTGGGGTGTTGGTTGCTTGAATCTGTGGATCAGAAGCTGCAGATGTGGAAGGTCAACTGCATATAAATGATTCCCAGCAGTTCAAAGCCGTGTTGTTCAAGGGTCAGCTGTACTTTTATATCTTTTTATTGTTGTTATCACATCTTGGCTTCTATTTTGGCTAATCTTTCCAATTGTAAAAGCTCTGAGTGAACAGTTTCCCTAGCTCAGGAATATTCGTTTCCTGTAAAGTACTCACAATAGTGCCTCGTATGTAGTGGAAGAGGCCTACAGGCTCATGAAAGCTGTACAGAAAGGGTGAAGGAAAATAGAAAAATCTAAAAATAAAAAAATTAACTCCTAGATATTAATTGTAGACCACTGATATTTCCTATTAATTTCCATTTCTGCTGAGAATTTGAGCCAAACTATAAAATACATATGGAGATCTTTAAAATATGAAATTGTTTGGCTGCCAGGTTTAATGCTCAACTTTCATGAACTGTGAAGCAGTGGGAGCTTGAATGGACAGTTGCTTTTTGCCACTTTGGGACTGATCTGAGTCCCAATTTGCTTTGCTGTTCTCCAAGTGAAGGACAGGACCTGATTTCATACAGAACTCAGAGCCAAAGTGGTATATGAAACCTTGAGCACCCTTGACACAGGGCTATAGATTTAAAAGACCAAAATCTTTCTCAGTGCTGGACCTCTGTCTTGTAAACTATGAATCTTCTAGTCATTTTGAGAGAAACCTCACAAAGAGTAAAAGCACAGTGGTTTCCCTCCAAGATGGTTTTGGAATAAGTAAGGCATATTTATAAACATACAGATCCTGAAGCTGTCTTTACAGAGCCTGCTCTTTTAAAAATCCCCTAATGAAGTGTTGATTCTGATCCTGATTTAATCACTCTTTGAAATAAAAACATATAGATAGAAACAGAAAATCTGTTTCCTGTTCACAGCAAGAGCCAGTGTGTCAGACTCTGCCCCTCAATGGTGGTGGGCAGTGTCTTCCAACTTCTGGCAACTCCATCTCTGGTCTGTGAAACACGAACAGCCATATATAGTATTCTCTTCACCAGAGTGATGGAGTAAAATGAAGTAAATTGATTTTGGAGCCTAAGAACCTGCCAACACATACTAACACTCAACAAATGTTACTTTCTCGTTATTGTGTCTTCATGCTTCCTTCACACTCAAAACCAATTACTCTAACATTGTTTTCCAGTCCTCAGCAATAATAAGAAAAGGTTTCTGACTTTTTCCCCCAACAAGCTTTTCACCAAGAAATGCCTTCTTACAGGGCATTAGAACTACACCTTCTCAAGGCACCGAGATAAGGCAGCAAGTGGCTGTTGATTTTTTCTGCTTGGTATACCTTACACACGTCTTCAAAGAAATTATTTCAAATTCTCTCCACAGATGTTCCGACCAGGCAGGACCTCCTGCATCTGTGAGGGGAGCTGCCATGGTAAGTGACTAGTGACACCAGGAATTCGGATCTCAGGTACTTCCCAGCTAGGCACCCACTTGCACCCGCTTCTCCTTAGCTCTGCTTTAAATTTACTTCAGAAACGTAGATTTCTCCTAGAAAGTGCAACATTTCCCAGTCAAGGCTGGTTCCCAGCTATGTCTGCCACTGGCATGCTGGACAGGAAGAAGCGTGGCCATCGCATGCCACCAGACACCTGGCACACGTGTGATATTTGACCACACGTTGTTCTGGCGCAGACTAGAAGCATCAGGGCAGAGCAAGACGCAGAGGCGGCCAATGCCACTTTGGCAAACCATCACGGTTCTGAGCTGCTCCTTTTCTGGATAAGATCATTTTACTCGAAGAGGAAGCCTCTGAGCGGTGAGATGCACTTGACCGGATCACGTTCACACAGGATGCTCACCCAACGTGACCTTCACCAAGGGCTTAAACTTCCACATCTCTGTAAAGTTTATACATCTACCAGATGGAGAAGCTTTGTTTTCTGTTTCTTTTTTGATCTACACAAGCCTGCACCTCTCTGTGTTCTCATGGGTTGGGAGAGGAAAGAAAGTTTGGAAAAGCTCTAAGAGTGCAGAGGAGGAAATAGGCATTTTTCAATGTGCTGGTACCTCCCCCCGCCCCCTCTCTTTTTCTACAAAATGCATTGAGTAGAATCCCAGTGAAGCGTGCATAGAAGCAGAAGTTCTTCACATAAAAACAAAAGTGATTCCCCCATTCTTCACCAGAGCCACACGCCTTCTTTTGAGAGATACCACTGAACCTTCTCTTTCCCCTGTACATGCTTGAGTCCCAACCCTGGCACCAGCAACAACCACATGCTAATGGAGAATTTATTATCATCCAAGCACTTGCCATAGATCATTTCATTTAAATCCCAGAGGAAATCTGTGGAGGTCCTACAAGTATCCTTCCCTTTTGTTATTTATTGTGTAGAAGAACTGGGGTGTAGACCAGAGGTGCGGGGGGTGAGAGGATTCACCAGAGACAGAGCGGGGAGCAGAACAGGCAGATCTACTGAAATTCACTGCTAAGGGGAGCAGCAGGTGAGACAGGAGAGGTCTGCTGTGCCCTGTGAGTCAGCTCCCTGGCCAGGGATCAACCTCAGCCATAGAGGTGATAGTGATGAGACTAACTTCTAAGCCACGAGGGAGGCCCAAGTATCCCCCTTTTAAAGATAAAGAAACTGAACTTTAGAGAATTTAAGAGTTATGCTCAAAGTCTCCTTGGTAAACGGTAGAATCAGGATTAGAAACACTTGGGTCTCGGTAGCTCCATAATCAAAGGTCAGTCATGTCCACAGCTCATCAGCTCTGAAGCCCTGATGGCAGAAGAGCCCCCTTGTTCAGCACCTACAACCTCTCTTTTAACGGAGTCCCAAGTGCATGCATCCAGCCCTGTTCCGGGGTGTGACTGCCTCTCACTTTCCTTTAGAGAAGTACCTAGAGGTAACCATCCTGTCTCACTTGAGAGCCATGGGCACTGAAGCAGGTGAGGAAAGGAAAAAGACAAATGCCTAGAAGTGACAAAGCAGTAGGACTCAGCTGGTAGTTCTAGGGATTTGAGAATCGAGCCTGGGGATTAAGAGATATCTTTCTTTGGAACTTCTGATAGTGGCTTGCCTTTCACCCCTTCACTGCTCAGAGTGGGCCCATCGAAAAAGTAAGAGCAGAGAAAATAAATGCAAGTCAAGCCAGTGATTGCTGCTCCCAGTTAACAACTATTATAAAAAAAGTCGGAGGAGAAAATAATGGAAATATTGTCTAAAGGAAGGGTTTTGTGTGACATGTAGATTTCCATTATTCATCAATGAAAGTCCCTTCCCCTGATATTCTATCAGCTGGAAGAGTCAGAAGTTGGCCATAAGGCTTCCTGCCAAGTTTTGAGGTAGTGAACTTTGTATCACTTGCTTGACAGCTTGGCAGGAATGGTACTAAGGGTTCCGTCGCTTTAAAGGAGCTTATGCTACTTTATTGAATGACCTTGCACTCAAAAGAGAAGGAAGCTGCTGTTTATACGTTTACATGGCCTTAAAGGAAACGAAGAATTTCAGAAAACAGAATTCATTGAGCTAGAGAGAGACTGACATAATCTAGCTCAGCGTTTTTCTCAGCCTCAACACTGTTGACATTAGGGGCTGAGTTACTCTGTTGTGGGGGATGTGTATCGTGGGGTGTTTACCAGCATTCCTGCCTCTACTGCTCTTCTCCACTCAATGTGATGATGAAAAAGGTCTCCAGAAATTGCCAAATGTTCCCTGAAAATCAAATTGCCCCCAGTTGAGAACTGTCTACTTTTAGGTAAGGAATCAAGTCAAAGTCATCTCAGAAAACAGGTTGAACAGAATAAGGTCACGGCTGCTCATCAGTCCCTCTACCCAGACAGATTCTTGCTGGGCCAGCTGTTAGGTGACATGCCAGCTCTGTGCCCCTGGAGACACCTCATGTGGCACTAGGTTAGTGTGAGCTCCCCAAGGCCACAACTGTGTCTGCCCATCTGCGTGTCCCCCGCTGCCTGCACAACCTCAGCCCTCAGAACTTGGTAGAAGAAATGAACGAGTCACTTGAAGGCACAAGGTGCACGGGTGGACTTGAACTTTGCAGGGACATAGACAGTACAAATGTTCCTGGGAGAACATCTTGAAGATTTAATTCGTTGACTTTACCAAGGTATTTGATACCATCAGTAAGCTTGGGTTTCAGCCCTGGCAGCTGTTCTGCAGGTTTGGCTGCCCTGAGAAGTTCTCCATTATTCTAAGGTCACTCTGTGTCAGAGGTTGGTTTGTCTAGTCATGTTACAATGGCAGCGACAGAGTGAACTGGGGTTGGAGAAAAGGCCGCATTTTGTGGGGCCTTGTTTGCATCCCACATCTGAGAATGTAACTGAGATCCAACAGCCAGAATTTGAGACTCTGGGTCTAATCTCATGGGACACTTTTGTGACACATTAGGCTACAAACAACAACAGGAGTCCTCCCGGAAATTATCTGGTGCCACAGAATTCTCTGGCTGACAATAGGGCTTGCTAAGTGCTGGACACCACTCTCAAATGTTTCACAATTAATAATTCATTTAATCCTAAGCAACACTATGAAGAACCTACCACCATCATGATTTTCATTTAACCCTAAAAGAAATGAAGGTACAGAAAGGTTAATGTGCCCCGAGTTATACAACTTTTAGGGGGGCAGAGCCAAGATTTCAACCTGTATAAAACTAATGTGCTTAACCATTATGCTTCCCTACCTTAGATATACTTTTCTGAATCCTACTATTGTAAATATTTGTTCTTTTGATTTCTGTAATAATCTTTACTAGAAATCTTATAGATACGATTTTCAATCTTGGTGCCTTGTGAATTAGCCCTGAGTGTTGTGCAGGAAGGGTATAGAGTGTTTAAAGCAAGGTCTCCAGAGAGTTTACTATAGAATTGAAGATCTCTATGTTAGTAAAATGACAGTAAAGAGCAGCATACTGGAGAGAATGGGCTTAAGAATCAGATCATACTAGTATGAGTAACCAATGGCCATTTATAGTCATGTGATCTGGGTAAGGTGCTTACCAAAGACTCAGTTTTCTCATCTGAAAAACGGGGATGATAATCTCTACCTAATTCACAAATTTACTTTAAGGATCAAAAAAGAAAGGCTATTATAAGAGTATATTAGAAAATGAATAAATGAGTCATTTTACTCAAACAGAGGATAGCTGGTAACATACAAGTATGAAAAATGTGTTAATGTTCAGAAGTAGAAAATGGACTCATGGGAAGAGGAGACTTGAATCTCAAGTCCATAAATATCACTCAGTCTTTTAGGTGCTGACACCATTTCAGGTGCTTGGGATTCAAAGGGGAGTACTTTGCATTCTTCGTTATTTTATAGACTGGTCAACTTTCAGAGTCCTGATTCATTTATCTGTGAATCCCTGGTTTCCTGGGGAACTTGTGGTAGGGAGGGAGGAGGGATCATGGACAATTTCAGTATGACTTACTCTAGGGTTATAACCAGTGTGTCTAAAAAAGTACTTAATTGTCTCTTCCTGGGAGAACTGGAGAAGGGCTCTCTAGAGGTCAGGAAATTTCAGGTGCTTCCCCGCATCGCTAAGATCTGGGCTTGGCCTCAGAAGGTATCTCCAGCTTAGATGTAGTGTATCATCAGCTAAGGACAAAGCAGAAAGAGAGAGAGATTGAACATGGGCTCTAGAATCAGGCAGACTGGGATGAACCCTTCCCTCCACCAGTGTGACCTAAAGCTAATGTCCCGACCTCTTGAAAATCTTACCTTTTTAAAGTACAGTTTTCTCAAAGTGGAAATAATACTAGCAACCTTCCAGGGCTGTTAAAATAATGAAATAAAGTAATCCTATAAAACTCTAAACATTTGCCTAAGATAATCAATGTGTAGTTGCTGCTGGTGATAATAATGTTAGTGGGAATAAGAATACATTATTAATTAATTACATAATTAAAAGGTAGGGCTCTGTAGAGCAGTGATAGTGCAGTCTTCTTTATATCTGAAACTTACCATTGATTAGCACTTACCTGTCTAACTAACCTTTATCAGTAGGGAAAAAAAATCCTTGCAAAATTAATGTTGAGAGCAAATAAACTCCCCATATTTTTTCTTGGTCATACAATTTACATTTCTAAGTGTTGGAAGCATCTTTCATGGGTGGGTGAGTAGGATTGGTCTTAAAGCAGAAGGTCTGGGCAGACCAGAGAAACTCGGGGTCTGCAGTAGTAATAATCCTTCCCAGTTTAGAGAGGTTCAACCCGTTACTCTACTCAAATGAATTCATGTGCTTTTCATTTCATTATAAATTTTTATTGTAAAAGCATATGATGCAACAGGAGTACCCTATTGTCTACATAGAAGAAATGTGAAAGTTGTTTGGGTGCTAAAATGGTGGCAAGGCAGTAATGCTTACTATCTTCTTCATCAGATTCCATACTAACTACCAAAACTGCAAATTTGAGGAGAATGAACTTTTAAGATCCATGACTAATTGCTGTTAGCACCAGTAAAGATCTGCAGGGAAAGTACGTAGGGCCCAAAAGAGAACACCTTGATCCACTTTAGAGATACAAGAAGTTAGCCTTAGCTGATCTGATTTCTCAAATGATTAGTTTCTGGTTCCATTACCTTTGATTGGTATCTCACCGTGCTTAGGTTTTCATTCTAATGTGTGTTTACTTCTGGATTCTATGTCATATCCAATGATGCAATCTGATAAATGATCATTGGATTGTGTCTTCCTTATTAATATATCACCTTTGTGTGTATTCAATTATGGATTTCCTATGGAACCAAAAACCACAAGTCAATGAAATTTGGGCAGAGATTCTGTAAGACACCACTCACTTACATGTTGAGAAAGAAAACAGGAAGGAATGAAAATACTTGATGGTGAGGAATGCAGGGTTAATTAAGAAAGCCTGGGCACTGGAAGTTACAGACCTGGGATGGAGAAGTACAAAAGAGGGAAATTTGCAAAGATTATATATTTACTGGTCAGTATTCGTGGTGAGATGAAATGTACTGGAGGACGTCAAATGGAAAGGGGACACATGAGGAAGAGAGGGCTTCAGGAGGTGAGGATGGGTAGTCGAGTGAGCTGAAAATAGAGACTGAGCTGCCTGCCTCCTCAGGGATGCGGGCAGGATGGGTAGAGTCATGAGTGACAGAGCCAGTTTGACAGAGGATGCAAATGGAGTTTTGGCAAAGGTGAACTTGTGGGAGTGGATAATCCTCCCGAGGTTATGAAGACAAATTAAAACTTGAAAGTAGGGCAGGACAGATTTAATGGAATCAAGATAAACATGTACCAGTACAGAAAGAAAAACAACTTTAGCTCTTCATCAGTCTCCTAAATCCTGTAAAACTGTAACCGGAAGACCCGAGTTCAGGCCACCTTCACCACCGAATGCCAATAAAGCAGAGACAGGAATTGAATCTTTTAGGTGTGCTTTAATCAGCCAGCCAGCAATCTGGAAGATGGGGTTTAACACCCTGAAGAAACTGCCTTAACATTTCATTTCCAGCTGCCTTTTTATAGTGAGTTGAACAAAGAGAGTTCAGCAGTAAGCAGGCCTTCACTACTGCCAGGAGATTGCGATGTCCAGCCCCCCGGAGCTCCTTATTGCCCGCCTGGCAAACTGGCCTCAGGCTTGTCCCAGTGAACTGAGGCTGGTCTTCAGATAGCACTGTTCCCCGGACTCCTCCAGACATGCCCTTGGGCTAGAAAATTAACTCAGAGCAGACAGGCCATAAGCAGTATATGTGCACAGATTTCCTACTATACCAGCCTGGTGACTCCCCCGATCTCCGCCCCCTCCCTAGCCTCTATCAAAACTAGCAATGCTTTCAAAAAAGCATTTATAAGGTCATAGTTTTCAGGGCCATTGTTTTGAAAATGCTAATCAGCTCCTTTTGCTGTCTGGAAGGTTCTACCAGACAGACATCTGGGGATGTCTGTGGATGGGGCTTTATTTTCCCTAAATCCATCAAGTTCACAAAGCTGACAGTCTATTGCAAGCTTTGGCCAGCCAGCTCTTGATAGACCAGGTGCAGTCTTAAATCTGAAATCCCAACCTGTGGTGCTATAGAGGTGACATTCCCAAGACAAAAGAGGTTCTTTTTTTTCTGTTTTCCAGGGACCTCCCTAGGATTTGTGTAGTTGTGTAAGTTTATAGGACGCTTTGGCAGAGAGGGGCTCAATATCTTGCCTGAAGGCTGAGACCAAAAGGAATTCATGTAGTAATGGAGACGTGATCACTTGCAAATGACAAAAACAGCAAAACATCACAAGTTGAGAAGTAAATGTTAGGAAAATTGATTTGCAGTCCTTGGATTAGGAAATTTAAGCTTGGACCTTTTTCATGGGAACATGAGAGTATTCTGGGTGGATAAGATCCAGAAATAATAATGCATTTTCTCTTTTAAAATTAGCAGACAAAAATACACAATTCACCTCTGGAAAATCAACCAGTTGGCAGTGCATTTGGCCCCAGACCTGCAGACATGAGGGAGGGAGGTGGCATGTCTCAGTGGGATGCCTCACTGCTGGAGAATGAATTTTTCCAAGGTAAGTCTATACATTAAATGGTCTTTGGAACTCCTAGCACTAAAATAATAATAATAATTATAACTTGTATTAAAATGCTCAAGACATATTAAACTCTGTGCTTGATTCTTGAAGTCTTCTTGTTTACCTTATCTGAAGAGGATGTGGTTACACACTGTTAACAGAAATATTAAAGAATCTTGTATTTAAAGATAATCTAAGCAAATATTCTCAGACCAAAGGCTGATGAATTTATGGAATTGTAATAACGCTTAATGTTTAATCTCATATAAAAAGGAAATACATCTTTAGGTAACAGATCTATAAAGTTGACTCTTTTTAATAGACTTTTATTGTTACTGATTAAGACCGCAATGTACTATGATGAAATCAAATTGTTAAACACTTAACTTTGTAGAACAGATAACAATAAAGACTGAATCAAATTCCAAGAGGACTACATGGATCTTATCATTTAAGCACAGCTCACCTTTATGGTGGTTATTCTATGGCAAAATAAGCCTAGTCATTTGAAAGATGAACAGGAATTCATTCGCCAGTTTCACTTTGGGAACTTAATTCAATTTGCATAGGCAGTGACCTTGGCCCTGTGATATAGGACTGGCGGGCTGGGCAATGAGAGACAGCCAGCTGACACTCAGCCCAGGTGAAAACTTGGTCAGAGAAAAGACACCCAGAAAAATCTCTGCTCCAAAACAAAGCTTTTGCTAGAGGCCTTTTGCTAGCTGCTGCTCATGAAATGAAGAAAATGACTTGGCCTCTCCAAAAGGAGACAGAGGAGCAGAACAAGAAGTTTTTTGCCCTCCTGAGCAGTGAGTAAACAGCATTGTTAATTTGGAGTTTGAAATGACTTTGAAATATTTAAGATCATGCAGTGGGCTCCTTGAGAATGGTTACCTCTGATAGGAGGATTCCAAGTGAGTTTATCTCTTTTTTCTTTTTGTATTTTCCATCACAACCACACATCAACTACTTTTGAAATCAGAAGATTTTATTTAAGGGAAAGAAAACTAGGGGCAACTTGAAAGGGAGAATAGAAATCAAAGAGAATTTTATTATAATTTGCTTTAAAGAGAGCTCTTTACTCATTACATAGTTTTCTCTGTCTTACCTTATAGTTGGGCATTGCTTGATTATTTTATTTGTAGAATAAAGGGAATATTTGGTCTACAAATAAATATTTGTAGACATATTAAACTCTGCGCTTGATTCTTGAAGTCTTCTTGTCTACCTTATTTGAAGAGGATGCAGTTACACGCTGTTAACACAAATATTAAAGAATCTTGTATTTAAAGATAAATCTAAGCAAATATTCTCAGACCAAAGCCTGATGAATTTATGGAATTATAATAATGCTTAATATTTAATCTCTTATAAAAAGGAAATACATCTTTAGGAAACAGATCTATATAAAGTTGACTTTTTAATAAACTTTTATTGTTACTGATTAAAAAAAAAAAAAAGACCGCAATGTACTATGATGAAATCAAATTGTTAAACAATTAACTTTGTAGAACAGATAACAATAAAGACTGAATCAGATTCCAAAAGGACTACATGGATCTTATTATTTAAGCCTAGCATAAATATTTGTAGAATAAAGGAAATAAATTATTTCAGAAGCTGGGGATTAAGTTTTATTTTTAATTAAATCATCAGTAGGATGTTTCTCTGAAGAATTCCTTAGTTCCACATCCTTAATGCTCCAGATTAGTTTTTCTGCTAGTTATTGAAACTTAACAGCACGAACTTAAAAATTAAATTAAATATGGTAGGGGAATCAAGAACAGACGTCAATATCCCCTTCAGCACCTGCTGTAACAAAATTCACTCGGATGCTGATATGCTTCACTTTTCCTGTCATTGAAGAGTCAAAATCAAATTTTTAATGATAAATAATTTTAAATAACCAAGAATGTTATTTTATGTAATTTACATGGAAAGGTTTCTATAAATCAAAAACTTCATCAATTTAAATGATCCCATACCTTAATTCTCATCTCATCTTTGACTTTCATTAATAAACATTTCTTTTAAAATACATAATTTACTTGTACATAATTTATTATAACATGAATACATAATTTATTATAACATGAATATGGTGAAATATATCTATTATAAGGCAGGTTTTAGGGAATCTTCAAACCTTAAAAGATTTTGGTTCTATTTAAATTCTCACAGGTTTTCATTGAGGAAATGATATCAAATATTATTAAATGACCACAGTTCAAAGAAATTCCAACCAACTGAAAACATCCTGTGATATGTCTGTGATTACACATTCCATAGTCCTAGAAAGCATGGACCTGGGTCTTGACATAACCCTTGGTCCTTCTCTGGTAAGGAAGTCACAGGCCCCTAACTTGGACAGTAGTGTCTGCTCTTGTTCCAGAGGGAAAAGTAAACACTGATTAACAACAGCAACATCACATCCTTATAACATGATAAGCTCCACAGTGAAATCTTTATAGTTCATTAAAGCAAAAATAAAAGGTGAATTTGGATGGCAATGAGGTTGCCATGGACTCATTGCCAAGGTTGCCATGGACTCAAAAATGAAAGGTGAATTTGGATGGCAATCAGTTGCCAAAACTACCTAGGCTTACGTCCTAGCTGTGTGCTCTTGACCTCAGTAACTTATTCAGTCTCTTCATGCCTCTGTTTTGTCATTGATTAAATAAGAATAGTAATGCTACCAACCTTATAAGGTTCTGTGAAGATTTAATGAGTTAATATCTTAAGAGCTTAAAACTGTGTCTGACAAATAGAAAGTGTTATATTATGGGAGTGCTAGTGGGTCATTTCTCCAGGAAAAATAATCTGCCACTGGCAAATCATTTAATGACATTATATAGAACTTTAAATTTTAAGCATTGCTCAAATCTGTCTGAATAAATCATCAGTTTATATATTAGGTGCCAGATTTTTGTGTCATGCTGTTTTCGTAAGGGTACAACTGAGAAATTACATGTTACATATAGACTCTCTTTTCTAGAACAATCCCCTGTAGAAAATGCAGTTGGAATTGTTTAGCAACCTATTGACTCAAAAGATTCACTAAAAAACAAACAAACAAACCCATCATTGTTAGAAAAAAATGTAGCTGGAAGGTTAATTTTGAAAAAGTATGACTTGCAATAGTGTGAAAAATAAACTTCCTCAATGGCCTTGTGAAAGTCAGATTATCTTAAAAACATAATCAGGGCCTCCCTGGTGGTGCAGTGGTTGAGCACTGGGTTGCGAGGCTGCCCACAGCCTCTGCAGCACCGGTTCGATCCCCGGCTGCTCCCCGGCCACCGGAGGAGGGTCCCACATGGCACACAGACCTCTCCTGCCACCCGCTGCTCCCCTCAGCAGAGTACTTCGGTCCTTCTGCCTGCTCTGCTCCCCGCTCTGGCTCTGGTGAATTCTCTCACCCTCCCGCGCTTCTGACTGTACCCAGTGCTTGTATAAATAAATTAATTAATTAATTAAATAAAATAAATCTTTAAAAAAAACCATAATCAAAACTAATGTCATCACTTTTATCATAATATGTAAATGTAAAATTATAAAGAGGAACCTTCAACAATTCTAAATTGTATTAGACAGTAAAATCTTATACAGAAAATGTGACTTGTATTCTCTTTTTAGTTCTAGATGACTTGGATAACAAACTGGCTCAGGAACAATCATCCAGCTCCGTGATTACTGGGACACCTCTCCACTATGGATCAAGAACACAGTTCAGTCACTTTTATTCCATTGGGAACAGACATGGTCATATCACAGGAAGGCATAAAAATCGCTATAATGAAACTTCAAAAATGTCCATCTATGACATCCTAAGACCAGGAACCCCTAGGGAGGGTTTTAAAACCTTTTCTCCTAGAACAAAGACAATTTATGATATGTACAGGGCACGGGAGCCCAGAGTCCTAAAAGAAGATTATATGCAAAAGAATACTTTTGGTAGTACTTCTCTCTGTCTTGACAGCAGGCAACGGTCAGCCTTACCAGCTACAGGACATTTCACAGCAAGAAGCTTACATTTTTCTGGCACAACTCAGAACAAGAATGGATTTATAGCACCAAGCCACCAGCAGAGCCCAAAGAGAACTCCTTTATCATCCATCATATGGAATAGATCAGATTCTTATAGAGAAAGGTGGAATGAAGAAGATTTCCCAACGACTCCCTCACCAATGGAAATTGACCCTGCTGACCAGTTTTCGTATCCCAGGTATTCTCAGGAGAATGCTAAATATGGTTTTTACCGGTCACAGAGTGCTTATCAGAGTGTTAATTTAAATGCTCCCATGGATAATGCAATGCATTCTGACCCATTTGAGAACTCTGAGAATATGCCATTCTACCATCAAGGCAACCCATTTGCTATGTCTTTCTTTAGCAATACTTTTGGACAAAATAGGGAACAGGGGTCTGGACAAAATCAAAAGGAACAATATTCTTCCAGGTCAAACTTTCAGCAAATCAGGAAACTATTCACTTCTGACGAAGACTCTGAAATGACTTCCATTGAAGCAAATAGCGCACCTGCTGGTCACGGCTATAGTGGTCCTTCTCAACACTGGGGATCTTTTTCTCATAGTTATGGAACAAGTATCTCCAGAGACCAAGAGCAAAATCCTTGGCAGTTCAATTCTCAGACATCCACACTGGAGAACATGGAGGTGTCACAAGATCATGGGAACCAGCCAAGCCCTCATTTTGGTGCACCAAACGCTGGCTCCTTGGTTAGTTCAAGCTATCACATCAAATCTGGTGGGTTAGAATGTCAGCAGAACAGTGCTCTGATAGAAGACCAGATAAACAAAGAACCTTACTCATTTGGAAATGCTCCATCGCTAGCATCTTCCTCCAAAAGTTCCCTCCCCCGGATTTCTGATGACAACAGGAATTCTCAGAGTCCCCATTTTCAGAATCCCACAGTCACTGTGCAGAAAATGATTCCCGATCAGCCTGTCTCTCTTCCAGTAAGAGGCTATACAGAGGTCACGGTCACCAACAGCAGCCCAGTTGATTGTCCATCTCTTACTGAAAGCCAACCCCATATCTCAGTCACAGAAGTGAGTAATGACAAAGAGTTGAATGAATCTATTTTGGAAAAAGAAATACAACTAAACAAGATGGACCAGAGAAACCTGGCAAGTGAAATACTCCAACCTGTTTCACAGACAGTCAGCTCCAACCCCTCACCTGATTCTCAAAATCCTCTCCCCCAGCACTCAGCCAACAACAACAGATTTAGTTTTAATGCATCTACCACCATAAATTCAGAAGGGTCACCCAGAGTCAATTCCAGGAGAGATAAACCCCCATTGTATACACCACACAATGATAAAGCCAGTAAACTTAAGAAAGATTCAAGTGGTACTGGGAATAGAAAATTTGGTCCAGCAACGTCCCTTCTTCTCATTCGGGAAAGCAGAAGATCATCCTTCCCCAGCCCAAATCAAGGTTATCACCAGGAAATAACAGTAAATAAGGAAGAGATTTCAAGTCCTATTCAAAATAACTCTGAACCTACTGATCATCAAAACATAGAGCATCCAGAGAGACATTCTATTTTAGATACTAAGGAAGGTCAATGTATCACAACTCCTACCACCTGTAGCAAGTCAGTGACCAGCCACAGTATCTCATGTGATTCCTTAACTCTGTCAAGGTCACGACCAGATTCCTTACCAGTGAATAATTCTTTCCTCAGTACTCTGGCTATTCCTCCTACGACAGTATTCTCCAGGAGAAGTCTCTCGGTCCCAGATCCATCTCTGAGAGAAAGAGGAGGAGACAGTGATAGCAGGAACCTAAGTAGTCAGTTCGTCCGAAGCTCCTCAGAAAACCAAAAGAGTAATGATAGTGGCGTGTCTGTACGGAGTGAAGTGGCAGATGTTGTTAAATACCAGTCACATCTTTCTCTTGGGGATGGAAAAGGAAGGGTAAGACAGCGTATATCCTATATCGAAAAGTTAAGCAAAACAGAAAGTGACAGCAGCAGTCAGATTAAGTGGAATCAAAGCAATGCCAAGGGGCCTAGTTTTCACACATCTTATTGTACACTACCAAGGAAATCAGCCAGTTTTCTCATCAATAGCAGGAAGTCGGAAAGTGAGGTAATAACTTCTTCATTTAGGAATGAGCCACTTTCATTCCAAATCAGAGATAATGTCGAAGATCCGAGAGAGAAGTACACACCAGACAAATTCAGCCCCGGTTCTTCTGAGTCAGAAAAAAGTTCCAAAGTCACTTCAGACCTAATTCCAGTGGTCCCTGGAGCTCCAGAGAGGGCGGCAGATATGAAAACCACTGGATCTGCTTCTGTTAGGAAAAGACCACTTCCGTTCCTCATTCAGAGGGCTGTGTCCTGTCCCTCGGGGACATATGCCTCGGCTGGGAGAGGTGAGAGAGAATGCTTGGGTTCAGACGCATACACTTCTGCCATAACACCAAGGCCTTGGGAGAGAACCACTAAACCCCCGGACAGTGTCTCATCTGTCAGGGGTCATTCTTTACCCAAAAGAGGCCACCAGAAGGAATACTTTAACGAGTGTGTGGACAAGGGTGGTCAAATCACTGCCTGCAGTAAAGGTAGCATTCCCCTTTCCAAGGAAGATCCTTTACCTTTTGCTTCAGACTTGTCAGGAAAAGAAAGTGGGGAAGCATTACATAAAATGAAGACTACTAGTATGTTTTCCGTTTCTGGTGATGAAGACAATGTAAAATGTTTTGAGATGGTTTCAATATATTATACCCTACCAAGAAACCAAGGCAAAAAGATCTCTAACTTGCTTCAAAAGTATTCAGTGGATTCACTTACAGAATCATCGAAAGTGGGGAGGGAAACATTTCCTGATGCTTTAGAAAAAGACAAACCAAACTGTTCTACACCAGAGCAGGCAAGAATGCCTTCATCTGAGGATCTAAACGTGCCTGTCAACATGGCTCAGAATGGCCATCTCCCCCCAGCCACTGACAATAGGGCGGCTCCCCAGTCACCAGGCATTGACTCTGTAGAACCTACGTTACTGGGATTGGCTTCCGTTGGAGCAGATGCTTCTCTTCACAAAGGCGAATCTAAAACCAGAGAGATTTCCCCACGTAACTTAGCTAAAACTCTAGGTGAGTCACAAAGCAGGAAATCAAGAGGGGAAAAAATGCAGAGTGAAACCCTGTATACGTCATCAGTGCTCTGGAGAAGAAGGGGAATAGGAGAGAAAACTGAAAATCACCAGCAGTCAATTAAATCAGGTGACAGTGGTCCTCATCCTCCAGCCCTTTCCAGAGAAGATATCGAAAATTCCCAGATCCAAAGAAGGACTGCGGCGTGGGCACGTAGTGGGATCGCTGGAAGTGGGGAGTGTCCTCAGGAGGATGTCGTGGGCATAGCTGTAGATGACAGAGCCAGGGGATTGCAGGGTGGGGAAGTCAGAGGGGAAACTGGAACAGATTTCCAAAAAATGACTGCTAAAGCACTTTGCGACACAGAAAGCCAAATCTTCGCTCTCACTCCAGCCTTGCAGAAGCTACAGCTCGATGAGGCTCATTCAGGTGAACCAGCTTTAGAGAATTCACAGTCTGAACCCAGAGAACTACCTCAAAGAAGTCAGGAGGTGAATATGACAGAGAACAGGCAGGCTGAAGATGATCCACAGATGCTGGCGTGGGGTCAACTTTTACCTCCTGGAGGAAATAATAAAAATAAAGCTGACTTGGATGACTTGGAAAAAGGGAAAAACAGACCTTCCGTTAAACACAGGCTGGCTGCCATGTCCAAAGCCAGCAGAAAATTTTCAGCTAAAGATTTAAGCCCCAGAAGACACGTAGCTACTATCTTTCCCCAAAGTGGGAACAGTTCTGGCTTCGGCGCTTTATCTCTTGGCACATCGCAGTGCAACCTGCTGTCCCCTGAGTCTCCTCCAAAGTCCACAGAAGGCACACATGAAAGCAGGCTGAGCAACGGCAGCATGGATTTGGAGAACTCTGCAAACTCTGCCCAGGTCCATGTAATATTCAGCAGAAATGCTGCATCACACTTCAGCAATCCAAAGTCCAACAGCATTTCACAACGTCATCAGAATGAGGTTGAAAATATCTCTGAATCCGCACCAAGGTATGAGAATTCTAAAGATGTAATGGCAACTCAGATTTGGGAAACACAGTCAGAAGCCATGACCCAACAACCCACATGCACCAGCCTCAGGGAAGCAGACTTTGCTGACCATCGGAGGAGGCTGGACCCTCCTTTTCCACTGGAGCATGCACAGAAATCTACACACTTCCCACCACCCGCCAGTTGTCCACAACTGGGTGTCAGTGCCGGGTCTCTGGAGTGGGAATCTGAGCCACACTCCTATCGTTCAAAGAGTTTAAAAAACATCCATTTGCATGGTGATCTGCGACGCCAAAGTCAGCCTCCCAGAAGCAGGGAGCGCCATTTTTCTGAAAATACTTCCATCGACCACGCCCTGAGTCGACTGACCCTTGGGAATGAATTATCTATCAACAGTGGCTATAATCGAAGATTCAAATCTTTTTCTGAATTTCCCTCCTGTGATGAAAATGAGGGATGGGCTTTGTACAGCAGCAGGACTAAATCAGACTCCAGACCCGTATCCTCTATATCCAGACCTATTGATTATGGAATTTTTGGAAAAGAACAGCAGTTGGCTTTCTTGGAGAATGTAAAGAGGTCACTCACAGAAGGAAGATTATGGAAACCAAGTTTTCTTAAGAACCCTGGCTTTCTGAAAGATTCTGTCATTAATCCTCCTAACCCAAAAGAGTCATTAAGCTCCAATTCTCCTGACAATAAGATGCCAGAAGAGGGCTTGTCTCCAAGCACACCACTTAATATCTATGAAGATGCAGTAGACTCAGACTGTGACACAGATACCACCACAGATGATGAATACTATCTGGATGAAAATGACAAAGAGTCAGAACTGTGAGACCTTTTTTTTTTTTATTAAAACATATACCCTTTCCACCAAAAGCCTGCAATGGAAGCCAGGTCAAAAGTGTGTGTCCCCAGGACGACAGTGAAAAAGAGCTGGTCCAGGCAGTGCCTGGACACTCTCTCTTTCCCTCTCCACACTCCTCTCTGTATGTGCTCTTCTGCAGTCTAGAACAGAAATTCCTGTTTTCAAGGGTTCTCTGCAGTTTTCTCCCAGGGTTCAGGTCTTAGCTTTCCTTCTTTCTCCCTAATTAACCTCTAACTCAGCTTTGGCTTTCTCCCTTGCTTTCCTCCTCATGCTTTTACACCTTGACGTGATTTACAACCATGACATCTCAGGCACATACAACATATTAGTTACCCAGCACAACCACAAAAACCCTTGCCTCTTCTGGTCCACACCTCCTACTTGAAGTAAAATGTAAGGATGATGACCATGGAGTAAATATTATCATCCATTTTGACTCTATCATTTAGGAGGTTTTGAGTTTGGACTTTTTTTTTCTTTCAAACAAACATAAGGGGATTCTCAGCACATCCTTTCCCATTCACAGTGGAGCCACAAGAGCACAGCTTTCCATTTGGTGAGGTCTTAGGAGAGAAGCAGAATCCACAGGAAGAGAAAGAACATTAGCACTCCTAGAATGCCTTTGGCATCCCCTGCAGGGATTGGTTGACTGTTAAAGCTCAGTTTTAACCCAGTCAAGGACTCTGACCAGGCAACCTGGTGGTGTAGAAAGTGATTTAGTGAAAGAAATTCTGCTTAGGAAGGGAACAAAGGGGTGGCAATAAGTAGGCATCCCTTTCATGAGGATGACTTCTACTGACGCTGCCTCAATAGCTGCTTTTCCCATGTGGATAGAACACATTTTTCCTATGTGGATAGGACATATTCCACGTGGACATTTTAGTCCCAGGGATCAGTGGTTGCTTGGGACAAGTCCCTAAAATGCTACCAAGTCAGATCCCATATCCTGGAATGCACTTGTGTGCAAGACCATTGACCAAGCCCTTAGGAGTTGCAAGGCAGAGCACCTCAGAGCTTATCACGGGGATTATTTCAATAATTTATCTACACCGAGTAACTTCTCACACCCATGGATAATTTGACTTTGTAACTCTTTCGTCACCATGCAGAATTTAGGGGATTTCTCTCCTAATCAGACTAAAGAATAGTAGATGGTGGTGAAGACTGCGGACAGCATGCCCACCTGATTTAGTTCTGTGAAGGTAGCATGAGTGGATTGCACTTGGTTTATATTTACTTCCTGACCTAAGTTTACTTTCCATTTTTCTTGCTTAGTCTGTTTCATCCATACAAGTTAAAGACACTGATAGGCATTGGTGAAGTGTATAGAGATCAGGAATGATTGAACTACATCATTGTTACCCTCCTGATCTCTGCCTTGCCTAGAAGCAAAATGCCAGGATTAGCTTACATGGCACAGATGAAGATGTGGTAACAAAAAAGCTATTCCGTTAATCTGTAAATTTTTTTAAACTTCAATCTTGAGTTCAAAGAGATCAACAATATAATTTTAAGTCAACTGTGCTGAACTTTCCAATTTGAATTTGTATGGTAAAGAATCAACATTCTTGTTTTTGTTATGTTTCTTAATTTTACCTTTCCATTTTTTCTATTTATCCGATTATTTAAGTTTTCATAAACTATGACCTGTGTTTTCTATGTAAAATGAAGATATTCAGGGTTAATATTTTAATATAAAGATTCTTGGGTTTTTTTTTTCAAGATCAGCCTGCAAATTCTGTAAATATTCTGAATAGGTATACTAACACAGGTGAAATGAAGTTAGCTTATTTTCAGAGAGTTTAAGCTACATCAATAGTTAGGTAAGTTAATGTGAGGATAAATAATTATTTTAGGGCCCTGGTTCTCTGCCCTGGAACCCACTATCTCAATTCAAAGGTATTTGACAGCCAGTATGCACTTACATTGTCTTTAATGCTTGTTTGTTGGTTTGACTCAAGAATCAAGAAAACAAATTTCATGAACATAGCACCTTCTATAGTTTTATACTTTTATAAAACACTTCGTTAAAGAAGTATGGCAAATGTCTATGTATTTTAACATAACAATGGCTGCTCTTTTAATATTCACCTTTGGTACAGCTATAATAATTTATATTAGTCATTTTTATTCTCATAACTGGTTTCCTAAAAGAGAAATCACTATTAAAACAATATCCACATAAATGGAATAAATCATGAGGGAATCAGTACTAAGCACCTTGTAAATTATTGTTTAGACAATAGACTTCTATAGGTACGTTAGCCTGTAAAGTCCATTTAAAATAGGACTTGATGAGATTAACTTTTTAAAAGATTTCCCTCTAAATAATTTACCTCCCTTGCATTGTAAATATATTGATGTTAATAAAACCCCAACTCCTACTCACAAGGTTTTGGCTGCTAATAAGCTAATAAAAACTAGTTTGTGTAGGAGACAAATGTGCGCCTGTAGTGGGTGCAGAAAGAAAGCTGACTTAGAGTCTGCTGAGGATCGGGAATCAAATTGGGAAATTCAGCCCCCGAAAAATAATATCCTCTGTTAAACAAAAGAGGGTTAAAGAGACCTTATTGCTAAGAGTTTATTGTTTAATAGTAATAGTGTTTTAGAGTATCCCATTTAAATGCAATATAAATATGTAAATATTTTACTTTGAAAGCAAGTGTATGAATGTATTAATATTACCACTTCAGTGGCTCTTTGTGACTGTGTTTCTAAAACAAATAAGCCTTAAGCACTTTTGTTAAAATTGTCAAATAATCCTTGTATGTAGTTCTCCAGATATGAAACATGTTACAAGTTGTAAATTTAAAACAATGCTTGTGTTGAAATAAATAATTTAAATAGATGCACTGTTTGACTGGCTTTTCATACCTTCCAGGATCATTTTCAAAAGTAAAGGTTTCAGGGGAAATACAAAAAGGGGGGAGGAAGGGACAAAAAAGCTTCAATTTCTTTTCTGTGGCTGTTGCACAAGGCCAGCATTTGTGAGTGGTTTTAAAAACCAGTGACTTTGGTTCTTTCCTTTGTACCCAAAAGCAACCAGCGAAGAAATGGAGATCAGAGTGCTTGGTTGCATAAGAGAGCAATTGAGACGCCTGGCATTTTCCTCTGAGGTTCTCACAATTATAGAGGAAGAAGGAAATACTTGGAGTTGGGTGAGCCACTGCCTACTAGCACTGACAAAAGAGAAGCAGGTCTAGCTAGTTGAAATGTAAGACATACAACATTAATTCCTACTAAACAAATGAATAGAGTTGTGCTAATCTTTTATCTGTTCTAGAAAAGCCATCCAAAGCCATTTTTTCTACTAAGGACAAGAGAGTGACATTATCTTGAATACAGTGTTTTATTTTACTCTCCTTTATTAAAACACATTGCATCAGCTAGGATTTTTAATTGTAGAAAATATAATCATCTCTAGCTGGTGCAAGTGAAAAGCACGTACTTCCTACCACACACATTGTAAGGCTGAGGAAATTGATATTAAGCTAAAATTCCAGGACCAATTCTTAAAATCAAGTCACCAAATTGGACTGCCACAGGAGCTGCTGTTACTTATGACCAGGTAGTTGCAGAATCAGGAGGTGGACTGAGCCAATATATTGCATCACCATATTCATTTGCAACAAAATCACTCCAATAGAAATAAAAGCACCCCTATATAAAGACTTACACATAAGAAATCTTATTACCACAATGCTTGTTATGGTAAAAACTGGAGACAAAATGAAACCTCAGATATAGTCTCTCAACACATTACTATACATATGTATTATATAATATACACTATTTATAATTATCATTAACTAAATATATTATCCAACAGCCTCATAGGTAGTTGCCTCTTTGTTTTTCTTCTCTACTAAACTACAGGAGCTTTTAAGTCAACACAGAATGTCGAAAATATGTTAGACACTGAATCAGTGTTTGCTGAATGAATGAAATTTTATTTCTAATTAAGAATTTGGTCAAGGCATCAGTTGATCTGAAGACATATGCTTTTTAAGAGATGGATTAAGATTAAAAAAAAAAAACAGGCTGGTAGAGATTCAGCTAAATGAGTGGGCAGATAGAATTATTGGCTTTCTTGATATGTTCTCCAAAAAACTGGGTGTGACCACAGTGTTACATATTTTAGTGGGCCATATTTTAGTGTCATCCAGTACCAGCTAACCCTCAGATTATTTCTCTGGAAATTGTTTATAGAGTTTGACTTTGAAAAAAATGTGAACAAATTGTGTTCCAATTTTTTGAGCGGTAGAGAGGAGGGAAGGTTCCTATTTAAAGCATGTAGGCGCCCCCACAAAATAAAATTTAGCAATGAAAGTAATACCAAGTACAGAGGCACTTTAGCTCTATAATTTACCAGTTCCTGAAAATCTTTGCAAAGTACAAACACTGTCTACAGCCTCGACTTGGCATCACTGAAGCAGAACAAGAGAACTGATGAAAATACAGAGAAGGTTTAGCCCCAGTGAGAGCCAGGACAGGCTCAGAGGGTGCCCCGGGGCCGGGTTCTGCTCAGGGCTGAGTTGGGCCCAGAGGGTGCTGATCCTGTGTCCATTCCGGGGGGTAGGGGAGGGGAGGCTTGGCCCAAACTCTCAGTGGATGCTCAGTAAACACTTGAAAGCAGCTGCGTGGAAGGGGAAGGAGAAGTGGAGGGAAACCCTGGCCAGTGAGTCCAAAAGGGAAACAAAACAGACGACAGCGAGCTCTGCGGGCGCCGTGTCAACAGAGGGCTGCGAGCCCTGGCACCGGAGGGCACAGCGGCGCCACGAGTGACCTGCCCCTGGAAAACCACTGAAATTCCCTTCCAAAGGCCTTTCCCTACACCACACTTCAGCTCCGGGCGGCGCGGCCCTAGCCCTCGAGCCTCGCGCATCTCCAGGGTGCCTGCGCCCTCCGGGTTCCTCCAACGAGCTGACAAACTCCGGGCGCAGGAGGTGGGGGCCGGGCGCGCCAAGGCGGGGCGATGGCGGGCACAGACTCGCGCCCCGGGTCTCGGCGCCCGGGCCCCGATCGCGGTTCTTGCAGCAAACAGAGGGGAGGAGGGGCCGCTGCCTCTAGGACGCGGGACCCGCGCACGCCCCGCCGCCCCGGGGAGAGCGCGGGGGGCGGGCCGGAAGGCGAAGGCGCACAGGCCCGGCCCCGGCCCCGGCCCTGCCCCGGCCCGCGGCGTTCTCGGCCCTCCCCAACGCCGCCGCCGAGCCGGACCGCCGCGGCCCGGCCACCATGCGCCGCCTCCCGCGCGCCCTGCCGCTGCCCCTGCAGCTCGCCCTGCTCGTGGCCGCCGGCGCCCCCCAGGCGCCGGTCAGCGCGCCGCGGAGCCTGGTGTGGGGCCCCGGGCTGCAGGCGGGCGTCGTCCTGCCCGTGCGCTATTTCTACCTGCAGGCCGTCACCTCCGAGGGCCAAAACCTCACCCGCTCGCCCCCAGGTAGCGTCCAGCCGCGGGCCTCCCCGCCCGCTGCCCGCGCCCCGCGCCCCTCCAGGCCCCGCTGCGCGCGCCCTCCGCCCCCGCGCCTGGCCGGATGCGCCCGCCGCCTGCTTGGCGTCTTCCGGGCGTGCTGAGCTGCCCTTTTTCTGGTTTGGTCCACTCCTCCACCCCGGACACACAGGGGCAAAGGAGTGACCACAAGTCTTTGGATGGATGAATGAATGGACGCCCAGGCCCTGCCACTTTCAGTGCGCAAGGCGGATGTCCCGAGTGTGCGCGCAGGGTGTTGGTGCTGTGTGCGTCCCTTGCTGGAGAGGGGCTTTCCTCCGCGATCGGGGTGTCTGAATTGTTACCGCGTCCAGGGAGTGCCTCTGCGAGCTGAGTGACCGCCTGGACGCGCGTGGATGGCCGTGGTTTGAGTCTGGTGGGCTGGAGACAGCTCCCTCCTTACTGCACAAAGAAAATGTCAGCAGGGTGAAAGGGGGCGGCTGTGCAGGCCAGATGCTGGAGCTCTTAGAGGTTTGAGCTGTTGAAAGCAGATTGCAGAAATTAGTGAAATTCCGTAGAACTCGCTAGGTGTCTCTACCTGGGGGGTGGATCTTGTCCTGAATGCCTCATTCTCAGCCGGCCTCCTACGTTCTCCTTTGCACCTACCTTTGCAACTTCTTGCAACTTGTCCTGCTGGTTTCAAGTTGTTGCCAGTCAGGATTTGCTAATTTATGTCCAGCCAACTGGCGCTTGTGTTTTCACCAAAGAGGTAATCAGAGTAACTGCCTCCCCTGCCTGCCTCTGGACACGTGTCTGCTGTGTTTAGTTTAGACTTTCCCTGTCCCTGAAGACCAGATTCTTAGGCCTAGAGTCAAAGTTTTTCTTCTATGAGGTGCATTTTCTTTAGTTCCTAAAATAATTTTGTAATGTTATAATGAATGGGGGGATTTCAGAAAGAAAAGATTTAGAAGATGCCCAATCTGAACTGTCCATTGACAAAGGGTTAAGATGGTCAGTTTTATATTTTTACCATAATTAAAGTTAATTAAAAAGTTAAATGACTTTTAAAGAGATTATTCAATAATGCTTACCTAAGTGAAGGATGCAATAAACAGGAAAGAAGTGACAGTTTGTTTTTAATTTTATAATGAATCAGTGAATCTGTCGCTTATTCATCAGTGTAATCAGCCGTTAGACCATGAGGGTAAGGAATGTTGTGCATTCCTTTTCCTCAAAAGAGTTTCTCCCAAAATGATCATAAAAGTTTTACATATCAGGAAAAAGGCGTTAAGAAAAGTAAGCCTTCCACCACATCTTTGAGACAACCTCACTTTCATCCCTTGAGGTTCTGTTTTGTTTCCTTCCAGGGGACTTGATTTTTAGTTTCCATTTAAAAAGCTGCCCTGTCTTTCTGAAAAGCTCAGCAATCCGTGGCTTATATTATCAGTCACCATCACTCACTTGCAAGTCCTGAAAGCTTTCCTTCCCCAAGAATGAACTGAAAGATGGTCTACTCAGTGTAGACCATCATACATGTCTTACCAAGAACCCCTTATTATCACTCCCACTTAGCAGACTTGCCTTTTGTGAGCTTGAAAGGTCTCATTCAGGGGATCTCAAACTGGAGTCCACAGAGATTAGGGGTGGGGAAAAAACCCTGCCCATGTTTTTATTTTCACTTTCCTCTGACTTAAGTTGAACATTTCCTTCCACTATGACGGTAGGCCAGATGGCACAGAGGCCCTTCAATATTGTAGAAGAAAGAATTGGTGGGGGTGGGTGCATGGAATATGAAACAATCAGCCTGCCTCTCCTTCCTAAGTCAACTCACCTCCTAGCTGCCTGGCACTTTAGTATTTTAATCTGTGCCTTTTGTTCTCTTTAATTATTTTGTGAGGTAGGAAGGATAGATAGTATTTTCTTCACTCTATGCATGAGAAATTGAGTCTCAGTGAAGCTAAAATGACTTGCCTGTGACTCCACAGCCACAAGGTGTCTGTCAAGACCAGACACCCAACACTTTGATTTCCAGAGCTCTCTCCCTTTTATCAAATCAGCTATCATAGGATTATCACGCATCAGTTTTCACTAAGGTGCTGGCGCACCCCAATGTATGTGATGGGGCAACCAGACTTCTGGGGGAGGATTCCATTTAGTTTCAGGGCATTCTTTGCCTTGGCCAAAGGCAGGGTCAACATTTTTGGTGCAGCTGCAGAGGGCTGAGATATAGGCCCTGAACAATAGAGGTGATGACTCCAATTGTTCCTGGAAGTAGCAGAGGTTATGCCTCCAACTTTGAATTTTACAAACCCATAGGCTGACATGACCCATCTTAGAACCTTGGTTTCCTGGTCTGTAAAATGGGGGTGACAAATACCGACCTCACATGTTCTTACAGGAAATAAATAAGAGTAAAGGTATCTGAAAATCTCACACTCAGGAACTGGCACCTGCGTGCTAAGTGAGTTAATATTTTTAAAAATGTGTTTTGATTTATTTCCAAATCAAGAATCTTCAAAATGTCTGCTTCTTATGATCTAATAAGACTTTGATACTGCTGACCTCCCTTTGTCTGCATAGTCACTGCATTTCCATTCAATTAGCTGTCTCTCTTAAAGGAGCTTGAATTTGTAGAGCAGAGAGAGCTGAGAGTCCATTCTGTTAGCCCCAGGAAAATGAGAATTCACATTCCTTCCATTTGCAGCTATTTGATGTTGCATCTTCTCATTTTTCTCTTGTGAAACTGTAACAGGGTGGTCCCCAGGAAAGGGGGAGGTTCCCTGCCCCTCCCAAGGGAGGGTGGAGCTGAGCAGGAAGAGGAGAAGCTGAAGAAGAGACTGAGGTAGGAAGCAGGATGGAGCCAGGAGACCTGGAGGAGGCGCATGGAGCCTAGAGACACGTGAAGAAACTGCGCTTGTCTTTTGGTCGTAGACTGGGTGACACAGATGTGGGTGAGACCCATGGGGAGGTGACAATGGCAGCTTTTATCTTGATGTTGATTTTGCTCTTTTCCTTCCGGGCTTGTCCGGTTGTTTGTGACCCTTTGCTGTGGGTCCCCACTGGAAGATGCTTTAGACTTGTGGCAGGCTTTGGGGCCTTGCTCTGGGCCAATCCCATTTGGATGGACTTTTACCCACGAGGGGACGTGTAACTTTGGGTGCTTCATTTAGAAACTAGACTCTTTGCCTTACCTGTGTTGTTTCCTAGTTTTATTAAAGTTCCTTCCCATTAAAGTCTCCTATGTTTTGTGTTGATGCGGCGGATGACAGAACCCATTTAGAACGGGCAGGTTTGCGGGGTTTTGGGCTGCCCCTCTCCCTGTCCTATAACAAAACTAGAATTGCTCATTTCTGTTATTTTTCTACTCATTATTTTGCATTGTTCCTAACAGTCTCACTCCAGCAATGACAGGGGCATGAAAGATTACTATAAAGATAACTGAACGGGGCCTCCCCGGTGGCCCAGCGGTTGAGCGCTGGGTTGCGAAGCTGCCCGCAGCCTCTGCAGCGCCGGTTTGATCCCCGGCTGCTCCCCGGCCACCAGAGGAGGGTCCCACATGGCGCCCAGACCTCTCCTGCCGCCCGCTGCTCCCCTCAGCAGTGTACTTCGGTCCTTCTGCCTGCTCTGCTCCCCGCTCTGGCTCTGGTGAATCCTCTCACCCTCCCGTGCTTCTGACTGTACCCAGTGCTTGTATAAATAAATAAATAAATCTTTCAAAAAAATAAAAAATAACTGAACGGCGCAGCAGACCTCTCCTGACTCACCCGCTGCTCCCCTCAATAGTGTACTTCTGCCTGTTCTGGTCCCCGCTGTCTCTGATGAATCCTCTCACCACAACCCCCCCACATCTCTGGCCTGTACCCCAGTTCTTGTATGCATAAATAAATCTTAAAAAAAACTGAACATTTTAAATAGGCATTTCCAATGGCCATCTTATATTTTTATATATGCATTTGAAATATTAAATGTATTTTCATATACATTTATTAGTATCTTATAATACATGGCATTTAAAGTGCTATTTCAGCGACCAAAAATGTTATAACTGGAGGGAATCATAGGAATCTAGTCTAAATTTAAAAATAAGGAAACTTTCAATTTAAAAATAGTGAAATGTTTTGGAGTTAGTATTCTTCTGTAAATCCAGCCCCAACCCCATCACACAGTTATTAATATCTTGCATTTATTGGTCTTATTTAAGATCAAAAATTTATGGAGAACAGGATTATTTGATCAGGTGACAGGAAAACTGTGCTGTTTGGGGGCGTGGAGGGGAGATAATATATGGCAGAAAAAAGAAGTGCCTAAGTGTCAATCCTGGGCCACAGTAAGTTCGTCCCAAGACCACTGTTTTAAACCCTAAGGAAGTCAGCTAATGCTCTTCAAAAAGAGAAGGGGAAGTTGTTAATTAGGTTTTGTCTGCCCTGGAACAGAAAAACCCCCTGAATTTTGGAGTTAAATCTTCCTTGTATAACTCTTTTATTTCAACCTGAGGAAACAAGTTTAAAGAAGTAAACTCTACCAAGGGTGGTGGGGGGGGGTTGAGGGGGTGGTGTGTGTGTGTGTGTGCGCGCACGCGTGTGCATGCATGCGAGTGTGTGTCTGTGGTGTTCTCTTTGTGCACAGACTGGTAACTGGCTATAATCTATCTCTACTAAAGGTGAATGGCCTTCGAGCTCTGTAGCAAGATGCCAAATACTATATTAGTATTCCTAAATGAAAGAGCTGGTGGATTTTTAACCCCAGGGGCTTTAAACCTACCCAAAGGAAAAGAGACCAAAGAAGCAAAAAGTTAATCTCTTCCTTGCTGTTTTATAAATGGATTTTGTTCATTCAATAACTCTTTATTGAATGATTAATGAATCATGTTGAATCAGATCTTTGGTTTGAAGGCACAAACCAGACATAACTCCTGGCCTGAGGGACTTTCCAAACTAAATTGGTTTGTCATTGATGCTAGAGGAAAAACGAACTTCTATGTGGAAACATCTACCCAAATAATTGTTAAGACCGAATGACTATGAGATAGCAGATTATAAATATTTGTTTTTTCTTCCAGGTCAAACATTATTCAAAGTAGTCATCAAACCTCTTTCGCCTAAAGAGTTAGTCCGGATTCATGTTTCTAAACCTTTGGATAGGAACGATGGGACATTTTTGATAAGATATAGGATGTATGAAACCGCCAACGAAGGGCTGAAGATAGAGGTCCTCTATGGTGAGGAACACGTGGCTCAGTCTCCCTATATTTTGAAAGGTAAGTGACCATTGCAAAGTCCAGAGCCAGCTCTCTGCACAAACCCCCTGCCTTTCAGAATGGGTTACAGTGACTTTGAAGTCGTGTGCAACAGTAAATATGGTCTAAGTATCTCCTGGAGCTCTTCAAATTGAACTTGAAATCTTGAGGGATAGAAAATGAAGTAATTAATGAGATTTAAATGGCCAGATAAAATCTTGTGTACTTACACAGGTGGTTTTCTCTTCATCCCTTTTATAGAGACATATTTCCATCTAGTGCCTTCTGCCTGAAAGATCCCTCAGCATTTCTTTTAGTGTTGAGGACGCTGGTGATGAAGTCTCAGGGAGAGGGGTACATTGGTCCATCTTACTCATCTTGGTCTGAAGTAGAAATCCTCAAGAATATGAAATACTTAAAAAATGTTTTTGAAGTAAATGTGAATATATTTTTATTAATTTATTAATGTATTTTACATCATTATTCATTTTTGTACAATATTTGCTTTCTCCTATCAGGTATAGTCCCATAAAATTCCCACCTCCAGTTCACCCGTGCACCATCACCGAAGTCCCTTGTGCTCTTCCCGCCCCTGTTTTGAGGGAGAGGGATCTCCCTCCCCATTCCCTACAGAATGTCTCTGATTTATAGGTTCCTGCTAATTTTGATTTTTTATTTGTAATTTTTTTCCCGATCTCTTATTTGGTTCCCCTATATTCCTCCAATAAGTTAAAACAACATAAATTTCTATCAATTCTCTTTGAAATGATGTTTCAGAGAAGTTTTATACTTATGACTGGGCACTTTATTTATTATTTTTTGAAGATTTATTTATTTATGCATACAAGAACTGGGGTGTAGGCCAGAGATGTGGGGAGGCGGAGGTGAGCGGATTCACCAGAGACAGAATTGGAGAGCAGAACAGGCAGATCTACTGAAATACACTGCTGAAGGGAGCAGCGGGGAGACCAGAGAGGTCTGCTGCACCATGTGGGTAGCTCCCTGGCCAGGGATTGAACTCCAGCTGCAGTGGCTGGTGATAGCTTGGTAAGGCTGTGTCTTTAACCATGCGCCATGAAGGAGGCCCCTGGCTGGGCATGTTTAAATTACCCTGCCTGATGCCCCTGGGTTATACCTTTTCTCCTTGAGTTGTGCTGTTGGGGGTGATTTTAGGAATTGAGAAGAAAAGAGGCCATGTTTTCTTAAACCTTCACTACCTCTACTACATAATAGTGCCTGCGAAGTAATACACTCACTCCCCTTTTCCTGGTTAAAATATAAATTGTTTTATATTCATCTGCTCTATAACTCACTAGAAATGAATTTCTGAGCAGATGGACCAAGAGCATGTGCTAGGCCAGGTTTTCTAGAAAGGATGAGAAAGGGTCCCAGAAAGTAGGATAGGGCTCTCACATGTCTTTTCACCACTGATGGGCGCAGGGCAAATTATCCCTGCCTGGACGATCTCAGATTTCACCAAGAAGCCACCCTGTGGTCCCAGCAGGGAAGCAGCATCTCCCTGTGTTGTTAATGGGGCGTGGCCCTATGTGTTGTGCCTTGTAGGACCCGTGTTCCACGAGTACTGTGACTGTCCTGAAGAGGACCCTCAGGCCTGGCAGAGGACCCTTTCTTGTCCACCCAACGAACCGCAGATTGCCAAAGATTTCGCTTCTTTCCCCAGCATCAACCTCCTGCAGATGCTAAATGAAGTTCCAGGAAGGTTCGGGGACGAGATGGGTGCCATTGTTCATTACACGATTCTCAACAATCACGTCTACCGGAGGCCACTGGGGAAATACACAGACTTCAAAATGTTCTCCGATGAGATTTTGCTGTCACTGGCAAGAAAGGTATGAGAATGAATTCACTGATTCCAAAACTATATATATATTTTTAGATGTAATATTTCATTGCCTGGATTAATAATGGCAAAGAATGGAAATGGATTCCAGGCTTGGAATTGTGCGGCTAGGATATCTGTCACTCGAGTGCTCCTGAGTTCTTGACCTTTATGGATCTCTCTTTCCTTTCTTTCTTTTTTTTTTTTTCAATTTTTATCTAGTTTTATATATTTTTGACATCATTCTTTTAAAGATTTATTTATGCATACAAGAATTGGGGTATAGGCCAGAGGTGTGAGGGGTAAGAGGATTCACCAGAGACAGAATTGGGGAACAGAACAGGCAGATGTACTGAAATACACTGCTGAGGGGAGCAGTGGGTGAGCCAGGAGAGGTCTGCTGCGCCATGTGGGTAGCTCCCTGCCTGGGGCTCAAACTCGTGCTGTTATAGGGCAGGGAGAGGGGCAGCCCAAACTCCACAAACCTGCCTATTCTGAATGGGTTCTGCCATCTGCCGCATCAACACAAAACATATGCTACTTTAATGGGAAGGAACTTTAATACAATTAGGAAATAATACAGAAAAGGCAAAGAATCTAGTTTCTAAATGAAGCACCCAGAGTTACCCGTCCCCTTGTGGGTAAAACTCCATTCAAATGGGATTGGCCCAGAGCAAGGCCCCAAAGCCACAAGTCTAAAGCATCTTCCAGTGGGGACCCACAGAAAAGGGTCAGAAACAACCAGACAAGCCTGGAAGGAAAAGAACAAAATCAAAATCAAGATAAAAGCTGCCATTGTCACCTCCCCGGGTCTCACCCACATCATCTGTGTCACCCAGTCCATGACCAAAGGGCAAGCGCAGTTTCTTCACGTGTCTCTAGGCTCCATGTGCCTCCACCAGGTCTCCTTCTGGCTCCATCCTGCTTCCTTCCTTCCTCAGTCTCCTCTGCAGCTTCTTCTCTCCCTGCTCAGCTCCACCCTCCCTTGGTTGGGACAAGGAACCTGGAACTCACCCTTTCCTGGGGACCACCCTGTTACAGTGCTGCAGTGGCTGTGGATAGCTTCATAGGTTTGCGTCTTAACCCCTCGCAGCACCAGGGAGGCCCTCTTTACTTTCATTTTTAAGTGAAGTGGGTTAAACCCCCACCCCTGGTGAGTAGGCAATATAGGGTGCTCCTAAGGTTTCTGTGAATTCCCAAACTTTTACAGGTTCACGGTCAGTTCTTGAAGTCCTCTCTTCCTGCTGAATATGCCTTCCATTCAAACCTCACTGTCTATAGCTACCTTCTGCTCATTACCTGAAAAGGACTTGACTTCAGAACACATTTCCTTCTTTACCCCAGGCACCTCTGAAAGGTAGTGTGCATAGCACATTTTGGTAAAGGTTGAATAGCAGAGAGATTATTTTGCATAATAAGCAAAACAAAGTGCACAAAACCCCTAGCATTTAAAAACAAGTAACCTTTATTAATCAGCCTCTGTCATTCCTGTCCTTGAGAATGTCTCACTGGCTCTCCTTGATCTTCAGGTTTTGGCTCCTTACTAAATATGGCTAGGGTCTGTTTTTCAGAAGACTTTTCCACATTCCTAACAACTGCCCTCCGCCCTCTGTTCAGCCCCTCTTCACATTTGCAAAACTGTGAAGCACAACAATTCAATCTACCCCTCCCTTCGATTTTCCTGATCAGGCAGAGTAAGGGATGAGGGTAAGCATTTATTTTTTTCACCTTTCTTACCTACAAAGACCATCAAGATCATTTTCTAGACCAAAAGCCAACTTTGCTAATAAGATGAGCTCTGCAGGTTCCTGAGTGAGCTTAATGAAGGCCACAACCCATTCTTACCCTTGATCAGCTGTCCCCTGCCTCTCTTCAGAGCCCATACCAGGAGCATGTGAGCACCGTAAGGTACCTGCTCACAAAGGTGGTGCTTTCCTCCTGGGCTCACGGCCAGTCCACTCGGCCCTGGGTGTCTCTCTCACACCCACTCTGCCTCTACAGCAGTGGTTTTTAACTAGAGTGGATTGGGCTCCTCAGAGGACATTAGACAACACTAGAGACATTTTTGGTTGTCACAAGAAGTCGGGGTGGAAAGTTGCTACTAATGTAGGGTGGCTCCAGGCTAAGGATGTTCCTAAATATCCTGCCATGCACAAGACAGCTCTCCGTGGCATAGAATTATCCAGACTAAACTGTCCTTTGTGCTGCAACTGAGAAACTCTGCTTTATAGTGAGAATTTCAGGTAAGTAGTTAATGAGACCCTAAATGACAGCAGAGAAGCAAGGGCATAACCTGTCATAGCTCTGGCCTTCTCCTATGTTCCAGGTTCCTTGTCCAGTGACTGGGAAGACTCTAAAATAAATGAGACTCACTTCTGGCCTTTGATCAGCTCTCTCCAGCAGGACTTACTTTGTTATTTGGGAGTGAGGGTGGGGCATACATACAAACAAATAATTGTACCACAACAGGCTAGCCCTGTAAGAATAGTAGGAATCCCACGTCCCAATGTCAGAGGAGAGTGAGTCAGCAGGAGGTAGCCTTAGACTAGGCTGTGAGGGGAGACCGCCACGTGAGTAGGCAGAAGAACGTCCAAGTAAAGAAAATTACTAAATTATTAAATTTTTACCCATTACTGTGGGTGTCATTTTCAGAGCATAGCCGAAAGTTTACTTGGCACATGCACAGATAGAAGAAAGAGCTTAAAGCTAAGCTGGAGCAAGATAGCTGGACCTGGGATTCCAGCCAGAGTCTAGGCCTCGTCCTGTGTGCTTAAGGTTCTGTTAAGTGCGGTGCATGAATCGGCACATACATTGCCCTGGTATCATTAATTTGGGTTTTATAAACCTGCCATGTGGAAAGCAGGTTATAGTACAGAGAGAGTGAAATCAGAAGATGTTGTAAGGAGGCTATGCAGCAATCAAGGCAAGAGGTGATAAAACCGTAAGCTTAGGCAGTGACCATGGAGATGGAGTAGAAATTCCAGGAGCAGAGGTAGATGTAACAAAGAGGTTTGATAGTGAAGGAAAACAGGGCTTGGGTCTAACGTTGTAGATTCTCCCTAAGGTAGCTGAGTGAAAGTGTCCTTGAAATCACCCATTCATACCTTCCTACCCAATTTCTACTTCCATCACGCTAAACATTAGATACCACTTCTGATCAGAGGTGCAACTCCTGCTGAAATGAATTTGCTGTGTATCATCCTCCTACTGGATTTTCACATACTGCTGATGACCGAGAGGTATTCTCTCTTCTGCTGTTGTTTTCAGATGTTTAATTATATCAGAAATACCTAAGAAAGCCAAAGAATAGAAACATTTAATAACAAAGACGGAAAGGAAGTCTTCCCTGTACTGATGCTTGTGCATTTATTTAGGTCCGTCTCCCAGATTTAGAATTTTATATTAATCTTGGAGATTGGCCTTTGGAGCACAGAAAAGTCAACGACACGCCCGGCCCTTTACCTATCATTTCATGGTGCGGCTCTCTGGACTCCCGAGACATCATCCTTCCGACCTACGACATCACCCACTCCACACTGGAGGCAATGAGGGGTGTTTCCAACGATCTCCTTTCTATTCAAGGAAATACAGGTAAACAGATGTTCATTCTCTATGATAAAGCTTGGAGACTAAAAAGGTAAAAGGAAAATCTGGTCACAGAGAGTATATAATTAAATTTTTAAAATAATTGTTATTCTTTTCTAACCAAGAAAAACAGCAGTGTAGACTATAGTGGTTTGTTTAAGATTCTTCTAATCCAAAAATTAAAGATATGTGGGTTAGGCTAGTAATATCCAAACCCACTGTAAACCTGAGTCTTCTTTGACTTGTACACTTGTAAATACCATTTGAAAATATATTTTTGGTAAAATTGTCACTTAAGTCTGCCTCCAAAACTTTTAGATTCCTGGATGACAGGAGAGATAATTTTGAAAAATATAAAATTATATGAGATGTTTGAGAATTACAGTAGCTCTTTGATTTGGATATGACCACCTCCAACACTTTGTAAAGAATTCTGCCCTTCCTCTTTCTGCCTTTCCTGATCCTTTAAACTTGAATTCCTTTCTCCTTGTTTGAAGGCCAGAGATTGATGGCACAACACACCTTTTTATTAAAATGAATGCCTTAAGCAGACAAAAACTCTGCCTACTCTTTATAGCCTCTTATTTATTGCAATTTGGTAGGTGTATTGAGTAGCTGAGAGCAGGAATTTTTCTTGGTAAACTCTCTAAAGAATGTGAAATGAAAACTGACCTACTTTTTATTTAATAACAGTAAATTTCTGAAAAGTATGCTGAAATAGTAAAAAGAGTGACCCCTCTCCAATGTCTATGTTTTATGATTTATCCCTTACATCGAGGACCTGTGTTAGCCAGTGGCTGTTTTTGGATTAATAGGAATATATTTAAATAATCCTTCCAGAATATTTCCTTCCCAAGAAAAAGAAGATGTAAATGTATGTATGTAGTTGAGTTTTACATATATATTTACATTTACATATATATTTACATACATATATATATATATATATATATATATGGTTGTTGGAAAAGTCATGACTCATTTTTGCTTGAAGACCATAGAAAAAAATACGTTGTGATTTTTCCAACAATCCAATATATTTGTACTTAACAGCATATAGGAAAAAGTCTTCCCTGTATTCAAAATTCTGAGCAACCTCAGGACTAAAGCTGGGCCTATGTTACTTAGTTATATAGTTTGCCCTCATCACCCTGTCTAAGAACAAAAGCCTAGCTCATTCCTTATTGTGAAGCACCCAAGACAGAAGAAACTTATGCTTGGTGACTGGGCCAACTCTTTTGCTTTGAACTTGGTCCAGTATTATGTTGGCTATTGCCAGTATTGTATAATAGAAACCCCAATATTTGAATGAGCTCTCACTAGTAGAAAAATAGATGAATTTAGAGCATTCTCTTGTACAGCACAGCTAGAAGGATCTGTGTTAAAATCCTGGATTTGAAAATATCTCAGGCAAATTGAGACTCCATCCCAGATTTTTTGGAAATAGCATCTAACTTGAGAAGATGAGTTGATAATAACAGTGCTTGACAATGGTAGATTAAAATACTTATCTTTACCATTTGAAAATGTCAGTTTCATAATTATGTGTATATTTTTGCTCTCAAATTTCTAGGACCTTCCTGGATCAATAAAACAGAGAAAGCTTTCTTCAGAGGTAGAGATAGCCGAGAGGAGAGGCTGCAGTTGGTGCAGCTGTCCAAAGAAAACCCAGAGCTACTGGATGCAGGAATTACAGGATATTTCTTTTTCCAAGAGAAAGAAAAGGAACTTGGAAAAGCTAAATTGATAGGTTTCTTTGATTTCTTTAAGGTATGCATTTAAGTCTTTCTGGGTGGATATAGGTGATAAGCTAGTGTTGACAGACTATAAGATAGCTGAGCTTGATGGATTTCTTCTGTCTTGAGAATTGATACAGATTTTCTCATCAGGCATAGGATGGGGAATTATAAAATTCATCATGGTTTCCTTTATGGTTTTGTTGTTGTAGGCGATGTCTACCAGATAGCTCCAAACTGTGTTTAATACTCATAGTACAAGGATTAACCTGAGGTTCCGGTGCATTTATATCTCTGTTTTTCAATGTTGATGAGAAGCAGAAGTGAAGCCAATGACTTACCATTTTTGTCTGTCTTAATTTTCCAGTACAAGTACCAAGTGAATGTGGACGGAACTGTGGCTGCATATCGGTACCCCTATCTCATGCTGGGCGACAGTCTGGTTCTGAAGCAGGACTCACCTTATTACGAACATTTCTATTTGCAGCTAAAACCTTGGAAACATTATGTTCCAATTAGAAGAAATCTTAGTGATCTACTAGAGAAAGTTCAATGGGCCAAGGTATGCTGGTCTGCAATTTTAGTTTCTTTAGGAAATTGCAAATTCACCAAAAGTCACCAGTGTTAGTTACATGAACTCAATAACAACACAATTTATTTTGGCATAATATAGCAAAAAAAAAAAAAAAGCTGTATTTAGAAATTTTTTTATTTAAAGATTTATTTGTTTATACAAGAACCGGGGTATAAGCCAGATGCGCGGGAGGGTGAGAGGATTCACCAGAGACAGAGCGGGGGACAGAACAGGCAGACTGACGAAATACAATGCTGAGGGGAGCAGAGGGCGAGACAGAAGAGGTCCACCTTGCCATGTGGGTTTCTCTCCGGCTGGCCGGGATCAAACCTGTACTGCAGAGGCTGCGGACAGCTTCACGGTGTGGCGCTCAACCACCTGCGCCACTAGGGAGGCCCTGTATTTAGAAATTCTTATTTCACAATCATTCAGATTCATACATCCAGAAACAAAAACATACCAAGTGCAAATTATGGATCAAAAAGACTAAACTTAAAGTGTTTCATGCACAAGAAGACATTTAAGATAATCATAGCACTCTTTTCTTTTCCCCAGTTAGAAAAAAGTCACAAGTTTATAATGAATTCATGCTATACAACATCCCAAGAATCATAAGTTCCCATAACATTAGAATTCTTTTTTATAAAGGAAAAGTATTAAGACTATGTTATGTTTTATTTTGAAACTCTAAAAATGTAAGCTTCTTTTATAAGACTGTTTCTAAGTTTCTGAGAAGCAATATTTGGTTATAGAAATAACTGGGTGTCAGAGGCAGAGTCATTTTTGTGACCCTTTATAAAGAGTCAGAACTATTTGCAAATCGCCTTCCCTGTGTGCAGCCTGGTAGAATATCAGCTGTCATCCCAAACTAGAATTAGGAGCACTGACTATTCCTGGTGCTGAAGAACAGCCTGCAGGCACTGATGCTGAATTTTTGATGATAGCAACATAGTTTTTTGTTTTATAACAACATTTTTGGCTATGACTGCGTATTTAAAATGAACTTTAAAGAAATGATCACATAACAGATTCGTTCTATTCTAGTATTTTAATATCCTGCAAAGAGGGTTACGATGGAGGACGGTCGATGAGCCTGGATGGTTAAGAAACCACCAGATAGTCACAATGGAGGCCACGTGTGGTGCTGCAGTGGGGGAGGGGCCATTTACTGGCCTGTGGAAGAAGGTCCAGACATGTGTGATCATTTCTATGCAACAGATGACTCGGAAAACACTTTGTCTATTTCTGTAGCCTTGTTCTCAAGTTATGTTCCATCATGTGCTCACTCTCACAGGGTGCTCACATTCAACCTCACTTCTCTCCTACTTCACACTCTCCTTATCTTTTTTGTAGATCACAGGAGTAATTTTCATTTATTATTTCTTTTTAATCCTTCCAGGAAAATGATGAAGAAGCCAAGAAGATTGCAAAAGAAGGGCAGTTGACTGCTCGGGATCTGCTTCAGCCGCACCGGCTCTACTGCTACTATTACAGAGTCCTGCAGGTCAGTTCAGGGGATCTGCACCCCTGGGTCACATGTATCCAGACCCTGGGGCTCAGAGTCACGCTGTTGGAACCTGGCTATGCCCAGGGACCAGCCTGCAGGAAGACAGGGCTGGTGCTGAGACCCTTTGTGGCCGCCATCTTGTGTCTACCCTCAGTATTACGAAAACTACGCTTAGTGTCTTTACAAGTATAGCTTAAAAGCTCCTCCCATCTTGTCAGTACTATCTTTTATTAAACACTTTATAGAATTACTAGTCTAGGTGTTCTCTGAACCTCAGAGAATAACATCTTTCATCATCTGGAAAATTAGAGGGTTGGTCTAGAGATTATTAACATCTCTTTCTGCTCAAAATCTCCACCTCTTTGTTCTCACTACTTAAGATTCATGCTTTTACTATCATAGTACAGAGGAGAAAGCAAATGTTTAACTTGCTATATAAAACAAGTAAAAAATATTTATAGTAGTTCTAATACATCAGAACTGGATACTGAAGTACAAGTATTTATTAGGAATTTAAGGTGGGCTCTTCGAGTAAATACCTGATGTTTTAGTCAGTGAAATCGAGCCAGCAAGAAAAAGATAAGAAATTAGGTTTTTATTTTTAACCTAAACTTCTTTTTCTGTGGGTAAAAGAAAAGGTAAATTTCCTCAGATGCTGGTGGGTAATACATTCTCATAAAAAGTAAACTGATAAATCATACCATTTATTAGAAACAGCCTTTTCCTTTAAATGAGTTCTATCCTCTCTACTGGGTTTGCCTTAGTTTTAATAAAAAGAGTTTCCTCCTACAAAAAATGTTAATTAGGCTCATGTACTCAATCCAGTATTTTGTTGGGTCTGGCCAGGGCTGTTTAGCTAAATGCATATGGAATCACTGAACTCAAATATCAGTTCATAGGAATATTTGTCAGTGACCAGAACGGGTGGACATTTCAGAGACCCGTGACCATTTAAAAACTATGTGTGATGACAGGCCTTAAGGGTGGGTGTGTGAGGCCACTAACTTTCTTTTGAGGTGCTTGTCCTCTCTGTTTGCTGATGTCGGTCTTCAACACAGTTAATTAGTCATTAACAAGTAAAGACTTGCTGTTGTTTCAAGGGGAAGCACCTGACTTGACATCCCCTTAGGAGCGGTTTCTATCAACTCATAAAACTATGGCTTGGGTTTCCTTGTGAGTTTACCAAATATTGCACTAAAGTGGATGATAACCAAAGTGTAACTTTCCGACTGGAATAAACCAGACCTCTGGTTTTAATCTGAAGACAAGAACAACTGGAGTCAAAGGCATGAGTTGGGGGCGGGGGTAGTCCATGGAACGGAGCGTGGACTAATCTTTCAGCTCTTGCTCACACATTTCAGACCTATGCGGCGCGCCAGTCCAGCAAACCTGAAATACGTGATGGGATGGAGCTCGTGCCTCAGCCCGATGACACCTCAGCCAGCTGTCAGTGCCCCCGGGAAAGGTCTTTGAGAGAAGAGCTTTAAGTCATCCCCAGGAGCACTCCTGTGAGTGCTCTCAGCATCTTTTTTTTTCAATTATATCATTTTTTTAAATGAGGTAATGTCAGTTCACAGCACTGTGTGTGTTTTAGGGAATAAGTTCACACCTCTCCAGGGGTACAGGTATCACACCACGCCCACCACCAAACATCTGGAATGGAGGTGGGCAGCTAGAATCCCACCTGAAGAACACAGCTTAGAAGATCTGAAGGCTGGTTCTCCTGAAGGCTTTCTAGAATGTGGATGGACAGAGCAGTATTAGAGCAATATTCCCAGGAGCTTCAGAGGTGCATTTATTTTAAGTAAAAGCTGCTATGATCCATATCTCAATTACTTTACAAAGAAAACTGGGAGATCTTAGCAGAGACTTGCCAAAATAGAAATCACTCCCTATGAAACTGTTTACATCTTATTTATTGGTTTGTTTTGATCCCTGGCTTATTTTCCCTCTTTCCCTTCCTCTAATTGTGAAGAAAAGAATATCGGTGCAGTGTCCCCACCATTGCTCACTGCTTAATTCTCCTCCTACAAGTCGCTTTTGGTACCCAGTCTGCATGGAAGGTCTGATAAGAATAACTAAGGAAGAGAGGATGACTTTAGCAGAGGTAGCTTGGCGACTGTGGAGGGAATTTTTTTAAAAATATTTTTTACTGAGTTAATATGAATTTACATTGTTTCTGTAACAGAAGTGTATGATCGCCCCTTAGGGCATTTTGCAATAGCGCACATACCACAAAGAACCCATAGTTGGAAGGAATATTTTTTAAAGCTCACTCATGTCTTCTAAGCTAAGTTTTATGAAGACCTGAAGCCAACTTAAGGAGATACTGTGCCATAAGCTAGTAATTCCCAGACTAGCTAGTTGTACACCCATCAAGGGAAGGTCCTCTAGTACAGCAATGGGGCAACCCTTTGGAGCTGTTCACTATCTATGCACTGATTGAACAGATAAAAGATAACTTTCGTCTTTCAAAGGGATACTTAGAAACCTCTACAGAAAGCTGCAGGAAACCTAGTACTTGGGAATTCACTCTAAGCTGACAAAAAAGGCAAGTGCCCCTCCCTCCTAGTGCCTTTCCACTTTCTCTGGGTTCATTGCTAAAATAACAGCCTTGGGAAGGTCCCTTTGCCTTTCAGGACTGGGTCAACACCTAAAACTTAAGGCCCAGAAATTTACGTCACATTTCGTGTCACCGTGATACAGTTCCTGAAAGAACATACTCCCAAAAGCAAGAGCTTTCCACAGTCTCAAATATTTACTCGCCAAATAGAAACCTTTACTTCCTCTGAAAATAGCATAACCACATTAGTTATATCTATTCTTTTTTTGCAGATCAAATAAGGACATAGAATTTTTTTTTGACTAGACAAAAACAAAACCACATTTGAGAACAATTATACAAGGAAAATACTAATACCCACCTATTACTGTCCCAAACCAAAAGTACACAAGTATGAGACAGGGACAAGCTATGCTGAGCCCACCCAGAGGAGTCTGTGCCCTGCAGACATTGCCCATGAACTTTGGGGCTTATTAGAGCTGAGATACAGAAAGGAAGCTTGCCCTCCTTCACTCCTTCACCCCTACCTTCCACAGCCAGGTCTTTCTTAATGGGGAATGGCGTTGACTATTGATGTCTTATATTTAAAAATTTTTTTATCACCTGAAGCCCAACAGACTTGATAGTTACAAGTGAGTTGAGACAAACTGGGCAGCTTAGGAGCATAGAACAGAAAGGACGTGTTTGAGAAGTTAAAATGAAGTGCAGCCCCTTGGAAATTGTGACCAGAGAGAGCAGCCTTGATCTTGATGGTCTTCCGTGCACCAACTCAGTCACAGCCTTTACAAAGAGCTTGTTTTATGTGGCTTTCTGGTTTGTTGATGCAACTATAACTCAGTAGATACAGAATCGCTAAAACCTTGATTCCTTATGTTTCAGTTCACCCCATACCTTAGTCATTTTTAACACTTCAACTTTCCTGAAATGGCTTTCTTTATTCTTGTAATTTTATAAATAATGCAGAAGTGGCAAATGGGCAGGTATGACCACCTTGGGAGAAATACCTGATTTTTCAAGGGAAAAGAGGGATGTATGGATATGCAAATATATATAATAACTACATTCGTCTAAATAAGCTATCCACATGTTTTTTGCAGCAATGTTTGTTAATAAAATGTTGGAAACACCTTAAATAGTCATCATTGTGGAATGGGCTCAATAGATTTTTACCAAGGAATATAGTACTACCATTAATTAGAAATAAGTAGCTCTAAATGCATTATCATGGAAGATTTCCGTGTCAGCAGTCAGTGGAAAAAACTAGTTACAGAACAAGCAGAATGTGAAATCCTTTATGTAAAAAACTGAACAATATCCCTGTGGTTGAAATTTTAGAAGGACGTTCACCAATACCTCGGGAAAAGAAAATGGATATTTGTATTTTCCATATACTGTTTTTAAATAGACTATATATTAGACTTTTTATACCATGAGACATATACACTTTCTAAATAAAGTAAAATTTCAAAATAAAATTTTGACAAAGAAATTTTATTTTTTATGAAAGAGAGTATAACTACCTATAATTGCAATATTTCTGTAACTGGGTTGGTCTAATTTTAATTATGTTGTGTCTAAAAAAAAAACCCTCTTCCACCACCATTCAATCCCTAGGAAATAGAAATCTAATATTAGAGGAAAAGATAACTGGATTTGATACCATTATTTTTTTTTATGTCAGATGAAAATGCGGTATTACAAATGTCTTAGTCTGTTTCGGTTGTCGTTATAACAAATAGGTCACAGGCTTAAATAGCAAATATTTATTTCTCACATTTCTGGAGGCTCTAAGTTCAAGGTCAAAGTGCTGGCAGACCTGTTGGCTGCTAAGTGTCCACTTCGTGTTTAGCAGACTGAGGACCCTCATCTCACCCTCACAGGACAGAGACCAGAGATGGAGGAAGCAAGCTCTCCTGTTTCTTATCAGAGCACTAATCCTTTCATGAGGACCCCAACCCCACCTTCCTGACCCAATGATGTCCCGATGTCCCAAAGACTGTCTTCAAATACCATCCCATTGAGAATTAGCTTCCACCATGTTAATGGGGGTGAACATTCCATCCATAGTAGGCAGGGAGAGGACAGTTGCTTTCCTGACAGCCTACAGCCAAGGATAGAAGAAATATAAATCTCTTATTTGGAGGGAAGGGAAACCACCTGATGATGGTGAGGTCTGTTCAAGTTCAAACTGCTGAGGGCAACATAAACTAGACTCTACAGTAGAAAACCCTTTTACACACAGAACCTCAGTCTATCCTTTCGCAACCACTGTTGCTCCCTCCCCAAGCCAACCTCCAGTGGCTCCTTCCAGACCCTGATATCAAAGTTAGTTATCTTCTCAACCAAGTTCTCTGTGTATAAGAAAGTTGCTGACTTTACACTGATCATATGCTAATCTCAGTGGAAACTTCAAACAAATCAATACAAGTAATACATAAGACAACAGGAATGGGACCTGAAGACTATGAAATGAAGATATCAAAGAAATAAAAACAAAAAAACAAGACCAGTTACAAACCAAAACAAAAAATAGAAAATGGCAGTGAACACTGATGTCTCAATAATTACCTGAAATGTGAATATAAACACCATTCAAAAGGTGTAGGGTAGATGAATGGATTTCAAAGCTAAGTCCAAGCTTTTGATGTTTCCATCTTACCAACTAAGACAAGAAGACTTAGTTTAAAAATGGAAGCAAATCCTATAAGTAAATGACTATCAAAAAAAGTCAGGTACAGCTATATTTACATAATGTTTCATTTCTGAGTTCTCAATTTCATTCCAGTGGTCTGTCTGTTTTGTTGTTGTTGCTCCAGCATGATACTGTTTTGATTGCCAAACCTTTGAAATACAGTTTGAAGTCTGGGAATGTTACCACATTCCACCACCACTTTTCCTCTTTTTCATCAGGATTGTTTTGGCTATTTGGGATCTTTTAAGTTTCCATATGAATTTCAGTAAAATTTGCTGTAATCTTTGAAGAACGTCATTGGAAACTCTTTCATAGTTTTTTAAAATTTTTATTTATTTTTGCATAAAAGAACTAGGGTGTAGGCCAGAGGTCTGGTAGGTGAGAGAGTTCACGAGAGACTTGATAGGGATTACATTGAATTTATATATTGATTTGGGTAGAATGATCATTTTAACAATATTAATTCTTCCAATTCATGAGCAGGATTTTTCCATTTTGAATCTTCTATTGTCTTACAGTTTTCATTGTACAGTTTCCTCACCTCCAATATCTGATAGAAAGAACAGATCTTCCATGTTGTTGGGTTTGGAGATTTATTCTCTCTGTGTGGTGTAGTTTTCCCTTGAGGACTCAGGTTGCCATCCTTTGTGTTTTTTCCATTTCCTAGTATTTGCTTTAGAAAAAATTAAGAGTGCAGGGCTTCTCTATTTCCAGTAGGTGGCACTGTATGTCTGGGAGACTAATCTGTTGTTGGGGTTCAGTGAATGGTGGGAGCTCCTGTCTGGGAGGGGATCTGCGTCTGTGGTCTGTCCTCACACTCCTTCTTCCAGTTTGTTGGAGCCTTATTGATTTCTGTGGGGTGTCTGTTTAGGCAGGTCTGGCCTTGCATTTGTTCTGGGAGCTTACTGGGACCAGTGCTGACATCAGCGGGACTTCCACTAAGCTGACTGGGCCCCACATGTCATCCAGGGAGTTCACTTGGGCCAGCACAAGGCTGTTAGTGGCTGCAGCCACAGAGTATCACTGGGCGTAGCTCTCCCCACCCCATATTTGTCCAGGGAGCTTACTGGGGCCAGCTCTGAGGTCATCATCCACGGTGGCAGAAGCAGGGCTTCTCCGGGGTGTGGATAGCCCCCTACCTCATCCAGGGAGCTTACCAAGGTTGGTGCTTAGCTTGTCAGTGATGGCTGCAGGGCTTCCATTGGCCGTAGGTCAACACCGCCCACCCTCACCCCACCCCAAAACACACATCTAAGGAGCTGAGGTTGGCAGCAGAGGCGGTGGCTGTGGCACGGCTTCCCTGGGAGTGTCTTGGCCCCTCATACTCATCCAGGGAGCTTACTGGGGCCAGCGCTGAAGTCAGAAGCAGCAGGAGTGGCCTCATGAATTTTTTCACCGCAATTCTCTCTCTTCCACAAGGGTCCTCAGTGCATCACTTTCTCACGGGGCACTGACTCCATCCGCCATAGCTTTCTCTAGAGTTCTTGACCTCATTTCCTGAGCTCTTCACCAAATCCTGGATTTTGTTGTTTGCTTATTTAAAGCTTCTGTCTCTACCTCTTCCCCATTGATTCTATTTCTGAGCTCATTAATTTATTTTCTGAATTTTCTTATATCTTTTTGATGAGATTTTTGAGTTCTCTTGTTTGACTCACCTTCCTGAGTTTTCTTCTATCTCTTCAGGTTTTAATAGATCAGTAGCAGTTCTGAACTCTCTATCTAATTGACTAGTTAGAGATTAATTAGCGATGCTTTCACAATCCTTGGTGTGGCCAAAGGATGAATTCAATAATTCTGCCGGGGATGGCTTCAAGGAAGAATTCACAGAGAAGGAAGAATTTTGACATATATTTTGAAGATGAAGCAGGAGTTTTTTCAGACATACAAGGAATGTATTGTTCAAAGAAAATTAAATTACAGCACGTGGTGCCATGGACTGTTGGTTGGGATGTTATGACCTGGAATCAGATAGGTCTTGGGCCCAGCTGGACACTTCTAGTAACCATGATGGGTCATAAAATGTTACAAAACCAATTATATTTACTCCCTTAAGGAAACCAGAGAACAAAGATAGCCAAAACATTGATCATTGATTTAAATACAATGACGCATCTTTAACCATAAATAGTATAACTCATGTGGGGAACGTGGTGAAACATAACAAAATATGACTGAGGAGTATTATCTTTATATGTATCTTGTTACCTATTTCCATGAACTATAGGACCCCCTCTTCCTTGTCTGCGCCAGACTCATGGACACAAAGACCCTGAGAATATTCATATATCATAAAATAAAAAAAAAAACTAACAGGTGATAAAACAAAGGGATGAAAGATCAATAATAGGGAACATTATGCCATATAAGTATGAGAACTTGGTGCCAGATTCTCAGAGACGTCCTGTCAGTAAGGATAGCATTGATCATCAGGCTAAGAGGGGGTGTCGCAATTTGTATGGAAACAAATACCTTCTACTCTTCCCTGACCTCAGCCTATCCATGACACCATTTTCTTCTGGGTGGGTGTTGTTAACCCGTGAGTCATGCTGGAGCACGGTAATGAATGCTGCCCGTGGTGGCACAGGACAACACATGCTGATGCTGAAGTATTGAGAGGTTTATGTAATGGAATAAGTGTTGATTCAAACACCGAGTCTTTCTAACCCTTTTAGACTCTCTCAGAACTGTGTTCTGTCCCCACAGCACTGGACCATTGCAGGGACATGCAGAAGATTGCAGAATCATCTGTTTTAGGGCGGGGTATTCCCTGGAGCCTTGTTTTTAGAACCTGATGAATTCTTATATGCCAGGGGAGAAATAGGATCCAAAACATGTTTTTCCAAAATGCTTTTTTACCACCATTGACATACAAAGGGGCAGATGCCCAGCCCCAGGTCAGAGGGATTCCCAGAATTCCTTAATCATAACTGGATGAGGCAGTCAAAGAAGGGAAATTGAAAGTTTCTTTGATCACATTGTCACAGAGGGTGAGGTTTCAGCACTGTTATCCCATATAAGTACCTCCATCCTGCTTACAGCAGCTCTAGCTGTGCCCATCTTACACAAGATTGGTTCACACCCCACTAATAGTGGGTAGAATAGTGGGTTTATGCTGCATCCCACACAGGGAGAAAAAAACCCTACTAAGGTTTCAGCCTACAGTGTCCTCCAGCTCCAACATCTCCTTGACTCTACACAAATGCAGGAATCTGTGACAGGATGACAGACTTTGCCTTGTCATCCTCTCTGATTTCTCTGTACCTGCTCCTGCAGTCTTTACCTGTTCTGTGCAATGTGGATGCTACTCACTGCTCTACAATCCTGAAGTCCAGTGTCTACAAGGGTGGAGACCTGGTACTGCATAGGTTCCTCCCTCTCTCCTCCTTGAATGTACAACCAGACATAAAGCAATTATATTTTCTGCTCAAAACAAGCCAAGGGTCACCTAATGAGTAAGTTCTCTTTTCTGTGTGTGTGTGTGTGTGTGTGTGTGTGCGTGCACGTGTGTGTGTGTGTGTGTGTGTGTGTATGTGACGGTCTGTGAATGCAGTTATGTGCTGAGTCCCCCCAACGGTTCTCTGAGGTGTGCACAGAAACTGCACAAAGTAGACCAATGAATTCTGCATGTTCTATCCTTTCTTTGTCCTTCTACTTCTTTAATTTTTCTTTTCTTCCCATTCCCTCCAAAACAGAGAGAGAAAATCAACTTTAAAGTCCAACCTTCCTCTCATGTTCATTCCTTTGATCTGATCCAAGTTTGTAAGAGTTCTTGTTCTGCCCCATCTTTAAAATCACCTTATATAGTCAGACATTTCAAACTTGACCTATTCCAGTAGGTGTGTACTTGTTTCCATCTGTACTTTGAATCCATCTTTCTAATTGTTGAGTAGATGTAAACGTTTTTACGTGTTAATGAAAATCCATACACCTTCTTTGGTGAAATTTCAGGTCAGATATTTTTCTTATATTTTAAAATTATTTGGTTTGTTATTATTTCTTTATATGTTCCAGATGTGAAGAGTCCTCTAGCAGATACATCATTTTCCATTGCACAGTCTTAGTATGTGCTTTGTTTTCCATTCTCTTGACAGTGTTTTTTAAAGAGCAGAAATTCCTAACAGCCATAAAGTCCAATGTATCATTTATTTCTCTGTTCTGAATTATGTTTTGGTATCCTTTGATATCAAAGATAGCTTTGCATAATACAAGGTCACAAAGATTTCTGTTATACTTTCTTCTGTAACTCATTTCTTTATTTGGTCTGTTATGCATTTTGAGTTTTTGGTTGTCCATAACGATGAGTTATAAATCGAAGTTAAATTTTTCTACACATGCATATATTAACTTTTCAAGACCATGCTTGAAAAGATTTTCTTTTCCTACTGATTTGACTATGCCTTTTGATCAAGTGTCAATTGTGTGTATCTATTTCTGGACTTCCCATTATATTACATCAAGCTGTTTGTCTATCTTTATGAAATTACCACACTATCATGATTGTCTAGTCTTACAATAAGACTTGAATTTGCTATTAATCTTCCCAGTTTATTGTTATTTTAAAATAGATTTTTAATCTAGTTGTTTGCTCTTCTATATTAATTTAGCAAATGACTTAATTTCTACCCCAAAAAAATGACTTTTGTGATTATGACTAGAAATGCATTGAATGTATGTATAAACTTGGAAAGAAATGACGTCTTAAAAATATGAACCTACCGACCAGGAAAATGAATAACTATAAGAAAGTGAAAATCAAAATCAACAAAAAACTATGAACCAGAGACACTTTTTGGGGGGTGGGGGGCGGGAGGGGAGGGATTGGGGTCAGAATGGGGGGGTTGCAATTGTATGGGGAATATAAAAATAAAATTTATTATTTAAAAAAAATAAAAATAAAAAAATAATTAAAAAAAAATATGAACCTACCAAAACAAGCACACTACATATGCCTATATTTTTGCCTTCTTTAATCTTAGCATTATTTTGTGCTTTTCAGTTTATTAGACTTGCACATTCTTTATCAATTTATAGGTAGATAAATATAATTTTTATATAATTTTAAATTTCATATTATAATAGATATTTGCCCATCTATAGAAATACAAATTATGTTTGTGTGTTGCACTTGGATCAAGAAACCTTTCTAAACTCACTAATTTAACATTATTTTGTAGTTTCAATTATGTTTCAACATAGGTAATCTGACCCCTGTGAATAAACACAATTTTCTTCTCTTCCAACCTGGATGTTTTTTATTTGCTTTCATTGCTCCTTCTGGAACCTAAAGAAAATATGAAACAGACGTGTTGAGAATGGGTACCCTCGACTTGTTTGAGGTTGGGAGAAAATTGTTCTTTTTTTCCCATTAGGTGTAATGTAGAAGATAGGTTATTTGTAGATTCTGTTTATCAAGAGGAAATTTCCTTATGTTTTTACAAAGTTGACAGTTTTCATCAATAATAAGGCTGAATTTCTCAAAAAATAGCTTTTTTGCATATAATAAGATTGTGATAGATAATCATATGGTTCTACTTATTTCATTTTCTAGTATGTGAATTTCATTGACTAATGTTCAAATGTTCTATGAAACTTGAATTCTTGGGATAATCCCTCACTAGGTTATGTATATTATCCTTCATTGTGATCTGAATGTTTTTTTCTTCTAAAATGCATATGTTGAGAACCTAAAACAAGCCTGATGGTCCTGGAAACAGGACCTGTGGAAGGTGCATAGGCTCCTCCCTTATGAGTGAGGTTAATGAAATTATAAAGCCATCCATAAATCTTTATCTTAAAATTTTGACATCCAAATGGATTCCCCTAATATGTTACACAGGATGATTGCACACAGATTAAAAACTGGATTAGGACAAACATCATTTTCTATTGCTCTTATCCAAATTGTTTATTCTTGCCCAATAATATGGTTAGTTAGAGCCTTCCATTTTTTGATTGACAACAACACTACATTGAACGAGTTTGCCAGGGATTTGCAGATAGCCCAGGATTGACACACAAGATGACAAACCACCAGGACCCTGGTATCAGCTCTTTCTCTGTATCTGCTTTGGAGCAACTGCATTTATAAGACAACTGAGGACTTGACGACTGTCATCTCCATAAGGAGGAGAGAGCGATGATCAGAAAAGGTAGGAACCTGAGACACAGTCCTGCCAGGACTAATATTTGGGCACGGCCTGAGTCTGTGGGCTTCTGGCGGCTTGTTAACCTACCGTAGCCAAGGAAGCTCACATCTTCTGGAGAGAACTCAGCGGGATTGTTGGGGAGCTGATGTTGGGAGGACTAGGGATAATTTCAGCCACCTGTGGTGGTCACAGAACACCTCCCTCCCATGCCCAGTTTCTTTGGCTTCCTGAGGCCCAATAGCCTCATGTAACTGAGGGAGTGTGTGTTTCCCAGATAATGCTTGGTCTGCAGGACTAGCTGGGAGCAGATGGTACCACAGCTGCTCGCACTAGCTTCAGTGGTCCGAAAAACACCCATCCTTCCCACACTGAGACTCTTTGGGCTTCCCACACCTCACTTAGCTCACCGTAGCTAAGGAAACATATGCCTCCGGGAAATAGCTCTGTCTGTGGGGCTGGTGAAAAACAATGAGCGCATCTATGGTTGATTTTGACTATGTTTCAGCTCTGCTGAAAAACACTAGCCCTCCCCCCATCTGGACTCAACAGATTTCTGGACAGTCTGCCTACTACGCAGAATACAACATCCCATGTTATCAGCCTGTGACCTAAGTCCACACACTGCTCATACCTGAACCTCAGGTGAACGGCTAAAGGTTCAGTTAGAATCTGGGGTTTCTGGAAGAGCACTGCCAGTGGAGTCAAGCTTGACGTGAAGGTGATTGTACATTTGTCCTTTGGCTCAAGCAACTGCATTTCAGAAGGCTTATACCTTTGGAACTCTACTGTCAACAACCTCCTTACCCCCTTGTCACCAATCACCACTCTGTAGAATGGGTTTTTGGGTCACCACACTCCACTAGCTCTTGGACTCCACTCATACAGATTGATGATGAAGCTTCAACCAATACAGTAACAAAAATCACACACCCAAGGCCAATATCCTAGGCCAATACCCTGCAATTTTCAATTCTAACTGCAGGACCATGACAGCAGTACTGAGAAGGAAGGATGTCTAGCCCAATCCATAGAAATAAATAGAGTACCAAACAGTATGAGGGGGCAGAGGATTCAACCCAATTGATGAATCAAGATTGACATTATGACCATGTCTGCATCTAGCTAGCACATCTATAATCTGTGTATGGCGTCGCACAAGTCCTCTGTGAAATGCTCTTGGCAAAAACAGATCAACAACAGATGCAACCAAGTGATTCTCTCTTGGCAGGTAAACCTCCTCCAGATGCAGGATTTGTGTTGATAAACATGGCATGTGGGGTTTTCTGTTGAGCTGCAACATGATACCCACAACTGTATCGCAAGTCAAAATGAATGGAGGATGATGTAATGCTGCATGTCATTTATGTGCAATTCTGGAGTATTTACTTAGAAAATTTTCTGTCTTCAGTGGGACTTCAGTTTCAAATTATAACAGGTTCTCATATAACATCATCTTGTTTTCGTTTTGTTATAAAGATGAAAAGAAAAAATGAATCATTGTTGACATTGATTGAAATGATATTTTTCAAGGATCTGTTTATATTATACAATATTTTGCTCATGTTATCCAAGAACCCATCAGTGATGTTAAGTGAGGAATGAATGTATATATTTAGAAATCATCAGACAGTAATTCCAAAGGTAAAAAGAGCAGCTGTAAAATATGACTCAGAAAAACATGACAAAGCACAGGCAGATCAAAATGGATCCAATCTGTAGTTTTCATTCATATTCTGTGGTATCCAAAATTGGAACATAGAAATATACTTCTTTTTGAACAACAAACTGTGGCACTCTGATGAATACTTTATGTGTTTCTCATATGAAATCTGCAACATCGTGACAGCCTGGATTTTGATCCCACTTTTATGTGTGAGAACGTCCACGAGGGATGCAACACTCTGGGATTATCCAAGTTAAAAGGAATTGTCTAGATTTTGACATCTCCATGTTGTGCCCCTGAATGTGTGAGGATTCCCTTTCAAGAAGCCTGACAAGATTTTATTAGTCTGGGTTATACGGAGTCCAATGTGTTAGTCAAGATTTGGGGAATGTCATTGTCAATTATTTAATTTCACCATTTGCCTTATGGCCAGGCAATGTCTTTTCTCATTGGACCCTAAAATGATAAGCACTCACACAAAAATTAAACTTCTCTGAAAAAGACAGTCTGGGTGTGTAGATGGGGTGGAAGTAAGGATAACCTGGTAGGTATGGGACTTCCATCTCTTATTTGAATGCGTTCCTAATTTACAAATGTGCCTCTCCTATAGAGTCATTCATTTCCAAGGTATATCCAATTTACTAACAACACTGGGAACCATATATTCTCGGACGACAAAAGAAACTCTATGGAACAGTGTGTTATCCTAAACATTGGCATTTCTTGCTGTTCATGGGCTCCTGGTAAAAGTAGGAGAGTTTGTCTCCAATGGTCCAAATAATCCAAGCTTGATCATCAACACAAAGATGATAGAATACCCTGCTGAATTCAAAGAGGTATAGCGTGATTTCAAAACTGGCGATAGACATTATAGAGTCCTAACATTAAGTGTGCACCCTTCTGATTCATCACTAAAATCACATATGAAAAGAACAAAATGTCTTTGTACTATCCAATCTTATTTCTACATAGTCTAGAGGCAGTGCCAATAGAAAGAAGAGGCACACATAGGGAATTTTTTGTAGCCAGAATAGGAAGGGGAATTGTGACAAATTTTTCTTGGGAAAGATCTTTCTCACACTTTTGAGAGCTACGTGGAGCTCCTTCCTCTATGTCCATCTGCACGTGAATAAGAAAAGCTATAGCTCTAATTGTTCCATAAAATTATTATAAGGCGTAGCAGTACAAAGCTTATTGGGAGCAAGACACTGGAGAAGAATTATGCAGAATCTGCATCATGGTGAATCAACCTTGAGCCAACCTTGAACAGCCACAGTATAAGCCAACCTTGAACTCCATGGGCTCATGCTCCTGTTTGAATTGCTCAGCCTTACTCACAGTTTGAAAGCATTCTCCTTGTGTCAGCAATAGAAAATCTTAATTGAGTGCTATTAAGTATTACATTTGAGGGTGCCATTATGCACACTGACAAAGGGTCAAATTTAAAAAACCATCTTAATGTTTTTGCTTCCCCCCAACTCCCCAGATGCACAGCCCGAGAATATCTAAACCAGAGGTCTCTGCCTCCCCGGGTCTGTGACCCTCCCCGCCTTTGAAGATTCCTTGGGCTTTTGTGTTTCTCTGGATTGGAGCTAGAACACACAAGTATGAAGAAATTGACCATATTTGGACAAACTAAGGAAGCCAAGACTTTTAAGGGTTTAAAATGAAACAGAGGCCTGAGAGATATGTGCATGCTGAATCCAGATGTCAGTCAATGAGTCTCAGGCAAGGTGATAATAGATGGAAAAAGAAAAGCCACTCGTGTTCCTCAGCATTAAAAAAGATCCCTCGAACACGTAAGTGCACATGACATACTATGCTGAATTCTGGATCTTAAAGTTCTCCCATGTGTCCTTTCTTCCTACAGAGATAGAAGCCAAAATAATGGAATGAGCCATTACTCATTTTCACAGGAAAGACAAGTGCATGTGTGCACACAGAGGGCCTGTCCTTAAGCGGGTCCTTGTTCTGTCTTTAGCCAAGAAGCAGTGACAATAGGAGCCTGGGGCTGTGGTTGGACGGACAGAGAGACTCCTCTGTGAGAGATTTCTGAAGATTTCCCCGGTTCCTCCTATTGGGAGAAATAATATGGAGAAAAAGCTGAAATCAATACCTCAGAAATGAGCAAAAACTTCTAGCATGACAAGCCATTTAGAATTTCTCTAAGATCCAAAGTTCTTACTATCTGACTTTACAGGCTTTTCCCCCCAAAATCACCCATGGTGGTCTTTTTATTTATTTTTTCTTTTTACCAACAGTGTGTTTACTGTGGACCAGGCAGCATTCTGAGTACTTGATACATGTAACTTCATTTACTCCTCACAATAAGATAGTCAATATCCCCATTTTATAGATGAAGATGAAAAAACTGAGGCACAGATCCACCAAGTGCCTTGTGCAAGATACACAGCCTGGATGTAGTAGCTGATGTATTGCTCTTAAACACATCAGGGACAGATAACCTAAACTCTAGAGGATAAAGGACAATCCTAATGGGCCATATTGCTTTTTAGAATTTAAAATGCTGTGATTATAACTGTCCACCTCTCTTTGGTCTTTGGATTCATTCACTGCAGAGGTTTTCAAACTTCGGTGTATGACAGTAACCTTGGAAGTTAATAAAAACAGGCCTAAGACCATTCAAGGAAGACAGAATCCCAGACTTTGAATTATCATGAACTCCTTCTGGTGGGAGCTAACCAAAGTTCAAGAAACCACTGAGCTTCAAAAGCTCCCAATTTTAAAGTTGCTGCCACACTTAAATAAATACATACATACATACATACATACATACATACATATATACATACATAAATAAATAAATAATTCTTTAAAAAAAAAAAAAGATACCGGGAAAGAAGCACAGCTGTGCCACAGGGGGCGGTGCTAGGTGGTCCCACCACATCTGTCCTCAAGGGCTTCAAGGCACCCGGCTCTTTGGCCCCAGTGGTGAACACCTTTGGTGCCACACCCAGCTCTCTCTATTGGAGCAGGACAGCCATACTCTGGCTGCCGGCATGAATTACTAATGACTTACAACTTCCTCCTTCTCCAGGAACCACCCTCTGGGCAGGCTCTCCAGGGAGGTTAAATCTTACTCCCCAAGGAACTGGTGGTGGAATGACAGAGTGGGGAGCAGAACAGGTGGATCCACTGAAACACACTGCTGAGGGGAGCAGCGGGTGAGACAGGAGAGGTCTGCCGCGCCATGTGGGTTAGCTCCCTGGACAGGGATGGAACTCATGCTGCAGTGGCTGTGGATAACTTCACAGGGCTCAGACTTAACCCCTGCACCACCAGGAAGGCCCTCTTAGACTCTGCTTTTAAAGAACCCAACCTAAGGCAGGTGACAGTGCATGTGTGAGGGAACCAGATGGGGAAGGTAGAAGTACAATGGCTGCCGTTCTTAGTGTTTCTTATCTCCTGTAACAACTCTGAGGACCCAGTATCCAGGTCACTACTTGGAAAAAGCCCACCTGTAGGAGTCCCAGCACTCAGGAACCGATGGTTTCCCACCAAAGTCTATTCACAATTCTCTTACTCTAGATAATTTTACAAACCAGACGTCATTTTTATCAGACAACCCATCCAGTCTTTACTCAAGCATCATCTTCTCATTGATACTGTCATGACCCCTTTATTTGAAATTGAGCTCTTCACCCCCTGTGCATTGCTGACTTCTCTTCATTGCCCTGTTTTTCTACAGCATATATTCCTTTGTAACATACTGTATAATACACTTTTTGTAGTTTAGTGTCTGCTTCTCCCTCCCCTTACTGGAATATCAACTCTATTAGTGCAAGGATTTTTGTTAATGTGTCCACTGCTGTTTCCCCAGCAACCTATCAATAAAACAGGGCCTGGCATATAGTAGATACTCAATAAATATTTTAACTGAAAGTTGTTAAATAAATTTAATTTTTGTTAAATATCATTTGGATATTTGTGGAATTACTGGCAGTGGGGTGAGGGAGAGAGACGAAAAAGAGGAGGAGACAGAAAAGAGAGAAAGACAGAGAGGGAGGGAGGGAAATAGATCTAGAGGAGAAAAGAGGGAAGAGAAAAAGGAAGAACATTTCTGTTTGGGGCTCAAGACCCAGAAAATGGGACAATATAAAGCAAGAGCCTAATGCAATTTCTCTTTTCTTTCAGATCAAGGAGCCAGGAAGTTCACAGAAGCACAAGATGTTGGATTCAGTTCAAGTGCACAGGAAGGCAAAGCAGCTGGTCTTACCATTTTGGTTTGAGTAGTAGAGCGAGATATCACAGTGCTTTCCACTTCAGACTCTTTCAGCTTCCTACTAAACCATTTCTTGTATTCCATTCGCACCTGAAGAATATAGGGATTTGTGTTATATCCAGAGATTGTTTTGGGAGAAAGGACCCTAATAGGAGAGACTAAAAATACAGATGCCAAGTCCTAGTCTCTACAGCTCATTCACTGGTTTTCTGTGTAATGTTTACCATGCTATGTTGATTCATTTTATCAAATTCAACCTCCTCAATTATACAGAATTTAGTAAATGCCAGGCACCATATGGACTCTATGGTGGTGCTTATCATGATGATGAAGATGAAGGTGATGACAATGATGGTGATGGAGGTGATGATGGTGAAGGTGATGACGATAATGAAGGTGATGATGAAAATAATGAAGGTGTTGAGATGGTGGTGATGAAGTTGATTATAAGATCATGATGATAGTAATGATGAATATGTTTATTCTCATGATGGTGATGATGGCAGTGGTGGTGGTTATGATGGTGAAGGTCGCCATTTATTGAACACTAGCTATGTCAAAACATTATAAACATACATATTTATCATTTAATTTTTATATAGTCCCAGTAAAGAAGCTATTTCTCTTATCCCCAATTAAAGATAAAGAAGATAGAGAAGTTGAGGCTCTTGGAGGTAAATTAACTTGTCTAAGGTCACGAGCATTCTTGTCATTATCACTTCCAAGACCTGATTCTAACCCCTACATAAACCACCCCCTGTGAGTCCATGAATTGCCTTTGCCAAACTTCCTTAACATGTTCTTTAAAATACATTCAAATATTTACTACTCAACATTATTTCACCTAGACATTTAAGTAGTATTTTACTTCTCTGTGTGAGGAATATCAAGCATCATGAAGATGCTAAAAAAAATAAAAGAGGAAGCATTAATGTGGGTTTTTTTTGCCATTAACATCTTAATTGCTGGTATTTCCATTCATTGGCTTTGGGAAACTCTTCCCAATCTCTCAAAAATTGGAAAATTATAATAATGAGCCTCACTGAGAGCTTAATGTATGCCAAGAACTGTGCTAGTAGATTCATATTGCATTTTCTCACTTAATTCTCAACTGTCATATTTGCAGATAAGAAAATTAAGTCTCAGAAGGGGTAAACAGCCTTCCCATGGTCACATAGCAACTCATTCAGTGAAAGAACTTGGATTAAAGCTGAAGCACCTCTAAGTTTGTGATCAATTATACCAAATATTCCAGGGTCCCTCCCTACAGTGCACCCCACCACAGGAAAATGATTCTCTCTCTGGTAAATTCAGGTATGGTCATATGCATTGCTTCTTCAGCCTGCATTTCAGAATGAAAATAATGTAGATCAAGTCATACTGTGCAGCATGAGCAAGTAATAAAAGTTGATTGCTGTAAACCCCTGAAATTAGAGAGGGAGGGATGACTTGTTTCAGCAGCGTAATCTGCTTTATCCTGACTGACATACGCTCTGATACAGACTGAATTGTGTTTCTCCACATGCATACAAAAATTCATATGTTAAAATCCTTACCTCTAATGTGACTGTATTTGGAGATATGACCTTTATGGAAGTAATTAAGACTAAATGAGGTCATGGGGATAGAGCTCTTATCCAACAGGATCACTGTCTCTGTAAGAAGAGGCATGAAAGCTCTTTCTCATTCCCCCATGTGAGAAGATAGCAAAAATATGACCATCTATAAGCTGAGAAGAGAGCTCTTACCAGATCTAGACAGAATTACAGCTTCCAGAATTATGCAGAGATAAATTTATGTTGTCTAAGCTGTACAGTCTTATGTTATTTTGTTATAGCAGCAAAGCAGACAAATGCATACTCCTATGTTAGAATAAGAATTGTTAGGATGTTAGTGAGCCCATGGCACACCAAAATCAGCCTACACCTTCTTCCCATTATCATGGCAACCCCAAGATACAAATTTAAAAGGTTAGTTAAGGGGAAGAATAAGAACAATCATTCAGTTAGACTTTGGGAGGAGGCTGGTTAGGGACAAAGTAATTAACCTTACCTGGCGATTAAGGAGACAGTGTACCACAAAAATCAAAACCCCCTGTAGGACATTGACGATGGTGAATATGTAAGCAATGATTGATCCTATTGTCTTCCCAACTTCTTCAACCATAAAATAACCAAGACCCCAAGAACAGCCCAAGATAAACAGTTGAGCAATGGCTTTAAATGTCATGACTCTGAAAATGAAAAAGAGTAATATTAACTATCATTGATCAGTACATGCTGGGCACTGTGTTAAAAACACTTTGAATTTATTTAAACTTCATAACAACCTCACAATTTAAGAATGAGGCAGAATCCAAGCTTTTAATCACTGCCTCTGAGAATAATTTTTCCTACTCTTAGAAATGATTCATCTTCAAGTTCTTTTACCTGGGCTTATTGGGAGATTTGTGGAAAGTGCCTTATAGACATTTGTTTTGAGATCTTTGGGTGATGAGATCAGCACTTTGGACAATAACACAACTTTCTTCAAACAAAAATGGTGTCTAGTATAATAGAGCAAGGTTGTTGATGGGAGACCCATCAACTGGGAGAACCGATGAGTGTGAGTGCATATACGTGCAAACACATGTGAACCTGCTCTCACACACAGAAAGGGAGGAGAACCACCTGGAAGTATGACACTCTGACCCTCCAGAATTGAGGAAACTGAAGTTAAGAAATGTCTGATCTGATAAACAGATGAAAGTCAGGGTCTGAAGTTAACAGAAGTTCCTCTAAGTTTTGTCCAGACAACTCACCCATGCAAGGTTTTTATTCTTACTGGTGTAAGAGCACTTTGCTCCTCTGATCAATCGAATACTAGTAATTCTCACCACATTGGTTGGAGTTATGAACATTAAATGAAATCATGTAGACACATGCCCACCACGTAGAAAGCTCCTAGTTAATATTCCTTGTAGTCATTATTACTTTATGTCTTTTAGATCAGAACCAGTAAGAATTGAGTACCTACAACAAAGGAGAAAGGAATCCAGAAATTGGGCAGACTCTCAGCAGAGATAAGGATAATGTTGATACTCTGGGCATTAATTTAAAATTAAGTTTCATTTCTTGAAACTCTTGGCATTAATTTCATGTGAAGAGTGTGCTACATCAAGAGATGCCCAATGGATATTTGTTGAATAAAGAAATGAGGGGGGACATTGTATACTAAAACTGCAATTTTTGCTTCTTCTATAAGTTGTCCCTCACATATTCTTTACACTGTGCCAGGAAATTTTTATATCATATTTTTGCTTGGGTTTTACTTCCATGGGCAGAGTGCACCCATAGGGAAAATATGTAGGTATCATTGACCTAGTACTTTCATACCTGGTGTCCTGTATGGTGGAAACTTCTTTATTGAGGGAGGAAATCTTGCTTTTCAAAATCCATAGAATTTGGAAGTAGAACACCAAGTTTATCTATGGAAACAGCATAAAGAAATGATTTGGAATTTTCTTTTTAGACCTTGTTATAGTCAACCCAACCTGTGGTGTACCTAAGAATCTGTTAACAAATGACACAGGTTTCACAAGGATGGTATGGCCTTATGTCCTGGTATTTTATCTAACACACAGTGTATCTGGTGCTTGATTAGGGTGGCTAAGTAATTTATCATTTGAACTGAGACATCTTGAAAGTGAAGGCATGCTATTAATACCAGGACAATGGATGTAATGAAAAGTTTCTGTCATAAAGGAAAACAGGTCACTCTAAAATAAAATCACTTTACATAGATTAGATACTTGTTAAATGTTTTTTGACTGAAAAAGTGTAGGATTTTTTAAAGACTGCCCAGGAGAGTGTTATATTACATCAGAGCAACCAGCGAGATAGGGGAAGTCAGATAAAGATACATGATGATAGCAGTCCATGAAGAAGGGTGCGTTACAGTAGGCTGTATTTCCCTATCCTCATCTCATTTCTGGATAAGCACACTCCCTAAGCTTGGTCAGCCCAGGGCAGGCATGTCCAATAAGCAACTATCACTAGTCACGTACCAAGATAATGACTGCCACTGGCCCCATGAAGCTCCAGATGAACCCTTTCTCCAGTTTGAACCAGCAGCTGTTGAGAGAAAATAAGCATTAGCTGTCTGTTCCTTAGGAGGAGGCTTGGATTCAAGTTCCACTAGCAAGATCTAGTAGTGCCAGGAGCTATTTAGTTCAAATCTGAATTTTAGGTGGAATCAGATGTGGGTCCTGACACAAACTGTATGATCTGAACCCCATTTTTCCAAGTGTAAAGTGGGGCTAACAGAAGTATTGATAAGACCGAATGGTTCCTGTGGCTCTATACCAAGTCTCAGACTTTCCTCTCCATGTAAACTAATCATCAGTTTGTTGATATCGACAAAGTAATTTTCTGAGATTTTGTTTGACAATGTTTTGAACCAATAGATCACTTTGCAAAGAACAGACTTGACATTATTGGGTCTTTCTTGGCAGAAACATGGACTTTGTAACAGGTGCTTATGGAGAGACCCACTCATTTTGAATCTTCTTTGATTTCTTACATAACATTTTTATAGTTTTCTTTATATTATAGGAAAGATTAAATGAGATAATGTGCACACATTTCTGGGATATAATTACTGCCAAATAGTTATGGCTCAATAAGTGTAGGTACCATAATAATAATGAGTACTAGAATAAGAAAGAACAATTTAACTACAGCTATAAAACTAGCAACACTAATTAAACTTATTCCATATACCATGTACTCTGGTACCAAAATACTTTGTATTCGGCCATAACTTATGTTGAAAAAGGTAACATGACTTGCAATATGAATCTAGTAAAAGTAATAATCAATTGTGAGCATTCAGTAGACAGGAAAGTCCCCACACTAGCATTTTAGCCAAGCATCACAAAGTAAGGCCCATTAGCCAAATCCAGTTCAACCTTTAGTTTTGTAAAGTTTTATTGAAACATAATCACACGCACTACTTTGCATTTATTTATGTCTTTGTCTGAGACCTAACTGTTTTCACACTAACAGGGCAACACTGAATAGTTGCCATAAGTCCATTTGGCCTGCAAAGCCAAAAAAGGCACCATTTAGCCCTTTATAAAAAGTTTTTCAACCCCCGATCCACCCACCTTTATATCTCCAGAATCACTGTGAGAGGAAGTGATGTTCAACGGGACACAGAGCATCTCTTGGACTTCAAGAAGGGCAACCTCATACGAGTTGCCTGCACAAGGACACCTACCTCCTCATCCAGTCCCATCGCTTCAGTACTAGATTTTCAACTGACTTTGCACAAGTTTGCAAACTTCTTTAGTGAGGCAGAAAAACATGGCTATTAATAGCACTGCCTTGGAAATTCTGACTTACTCTCATCTTGGCTGTGACCTTGAGAAAGTCTATTAAATACACTAAGCCCCAGATGCACAAGCTGACCTTGCAGAGTCACAGGGAGAATGAGAAAAGATCCTGCATATATCGGAAGCACTATCTCTCATGCATCACAAGTCTTCAAGATTTGATGCTATTTTTGTTATTCTTTTTATATTTTGTAGATCAATCTCAACCTATTCAACTCACTTTTCCAGAACCTTGCTGAACAGACAGCCCACAAGTTCTTTACGTACTCATGGATTTTTTTTCTCTGAAGTTCCTGAAGTTGCATTCAAACTTTTGTTTGAATGTTTGTGTGTGCATATTTCTAGAAAAAAACAGACCCTAATTTTCACCAAAATTTTCAAAAGGATCCAATCCCAAAGATACTGAGAACCATTGTTCTAGGGATTTCCAAGAGAAAGTACACTGCAGACTAAGGAAATACTTGTTTGAAACACAATTTACAACTGAAAATAGATTTACATTTTTTAAAATGTATTAGCCATGGATACCACTTCACCATAAGTGCTTACTGAGTATATGTTCCATAATTTTTGTGTCCTCCTATTGCAGACGCAGCCACAATCACAGCTGGAATCCCGTAGCCAAAAGGGTACATGAACCTCTTCTTGAATCTGCCTGCACTCGTGTAGTTGGCCACCTTGAGGTTCCTGACAGTGAGGAAGAGGTGTAGCCCTTCCAGGAACATCCAGGTGAAGGCGGCCAGGTACAAGTAGTGCAACACCCCAGCAATGATGGAGCACAGCACCTGGTGGGGAGAGGAGAGGTAAGAAGGTGGAGCCAATGCATAGAGAACCCTAAAGGCTCCATAGGAAACTAATTAAAACCACAGACCTGTTCAGCAAAGTGGCAGGTGACAAAATCATACACAAAAATCAGTTGCCTTTCTATAGGCAAATAATGAGCTAGAAATTAAGAAAAAAAAAATCCCATTTATAGTCACACTAAAAAAATTTAAATATCTAGGGGTAAACCTAACAAAGAAGGTGAAGAACTTATACAATGAAAGCTATAAGATGTTCCTAAAAGAAATAGAAGATGCAAAGAAATGGTGGGATATTCCCTGCTATGGATTAAAAGAATCAACACTGTCAGAATGGCCATCCGATCCAAAGCAATATACAGATTCAGTTCAACCCTAATAAAAATTTCATGGGATTCTTCAAAGAAATGGAACAAACATACTGAAATTCATATGAGCCACAAAAATCCCAAATAAACAAAGAAATACCAACACAAAAAAGGAAGAATGGTTGAGAATCCTACCTATACAAGCTCATTTTCTTTCTTAATCAGGGAGGTAGATTTGAGTTTATCTCCTGTCTCCTTTCTACCAATCGATTCTCAATAATGTTTCTCAAACTTTGATGCCATAATATAAGCTTCTATGTATAATACATCAGTGAGTAAGTCAATTGCTTGGCAATAGGGGATGGAGATTCAAGTGCAGACAAGTGTGGCTAAGACACTGCCCATCAAAAAATCCAGTCCGTCCTCCAACTCATTTCTAGAATATAGATCTGTCACTAAAATGTGACTTCCCAGCCAGAGACCAAATTTTGCAGCACCTCTTGCAGTCAGGTATGACCACACGACTGAGGAATGAGGGAAGGTGACATGGACCTCGACTCCGATGGGAAGAGACCCATAAAAATCTCCTTCACAGGGGCCTTCTTTGTGGCCCAGGCAGTTGAGCGCTGTGCTGTGAAGCTGTTCACAGCCACTGCAATGCCTGTTCGATCCCCACCAGCAGAGAGATGCCCACATGGCTCAGCAGACCTCTCCTGTCTCACCCACTGCTCCCCTCAGCAGTGTATTTCATCAGTCTGCCTGTTCTGTTCCCCACTCTGTCTCTGGTGAATCCTCTCACCCTCCCGCACAACTGGCCTGTACCCCAGTTCTTGTATAAATACATAAATCTTTAAAAAAAAAATCTCCTTCATGGGACTCTGCCATGCTCCCTTGTCTTTCCAGTTGGTTAACACATAAGGACTCTGGGATGACAGTGAATGCTGCCTATGGCATCCAGAAGAGCCCTCATGAGCCTGGGGGTAACGGATAAACACCCATCCAACCTGTGTGTGCACCTTCTACTAATATATAAGAGGACAATTATTCTTGCTCTAAGCCGTGGACATTTTGGAGTTTATTTGTTGTAGCAGCTATTATTATCCTGTCTAATGTCACCAGTCTGATTCTCCACCAGTTTACTAAATGGCCCCTCAAAAAGTGTGGGTCCTGTCTAGAGTTCTACAGCAGGAGAGCTCCCCATACCATCACTGCCAACTATTGCCTTTCTCTCCCTCTTTCCTCAAGACATGATGCTAGATTCCATTGTGACAACAATGTACCTGGGGAAATCACCCACCTTAGGCTCTGTTTGATCCATCCCTGTGAGGAAGAGGAAGTGGGCCAGGAAGAGGCAGATGGACAGCTGCAGGTGGAGGGTGGTGCTGGTGTTCCGGATGGTCCGGCACACAAAGAAGGTGATGACTGCCAGGAAGAGGCAGAACAGAGAAAGGCTGAGCCCCACGTAGGTGATCACGACCAGGACAGGGTCCGCCTAAGAGCCACCAAACAAGGAATCACCATAGTTGCCATTGCTGCAGGTATGAGCCTTGTTTAGAGTCACATGGGTGCCCAGTTCAGTCCCTCAAATAAGCAACTTAACCTTGCTGAGACTTGGTGTTCCTTTCTTCAAAATGGACGCAGTAATAGCATTTACCACTCAGGGCTATTGGAAAAACCAGACCATTAGACTGGCATTGTCAAATCAAAATATGTCAGTTACCTATGTAATTTTAAATTTTTCAGTTGTCATATTTTTAAAATATAAAAAGAAACATATATTTTACATTAGTAGAACATATTGGCTCAGATACTGTATTTTCAAAGGTGGAAATGAAATCAAACAATAAAATTATGTTTGATGCAAAAGCTTTTACTCTGCTTTTAATTAAATTAAAATTACATAATTTGGTTCTTCAGTTAACTTAGCACATTTGTAGAGGCCAATACCACAAACCCCATGATGGCTGGTGATCCTACTGCACAAACAACACAAAGTAATCTCCACAACAGCGGGGGTTTCTTTATCTTGTTTCCTGATGCATCCCCAAAGCCTCGGACAGCATCAGACTTAAGTATGACTTTAAGTATGTGTAAGCATATATGAATTTGTTGAATGGCTAAAATGAGATAATGCCACATAATAGTGGTCATACCATAAATATTCAATACATGGGAGCTTAAAAAAATAGGGGAAGAAGTTAGGTTACTTCCTTTAAACTGACATTATCCCAGTCATAGTAGGCAGCTGAGACATTCAGGAGGGTGAGCTTTTCCATGGGCAGCAATGAATGCCTTTTTCTCACCTGGCAGGGGAGGTCAGCCTTTCTTTTGCAGAGTAACAAATGTGTCTGATCCCAGATCACCTTGGACCTTTCCACTGTATAGGATGACAACTCAACTTCCCTGTGTAGAAGGAATTTCTCTTCTACCTTGAGTCACTCTGCTCATGCCCAGGGAGGTGTAGCAGCTTTCAACAAATGTTCAGTTAGGATGAGTCTGAGGTCTGTCTGCCACATGGATGGTCAGAGGCAGAAGGAAGGCGGTTCCCAATGCTCACCGTGGAAACCAGCCTGGTAATGCTCTCTGCATGGACGCTGTCCTGTCCCCCTGTCACAGAACCTCTCGCCTCCTGGTGCTTCCTGGCATTACCTCTCAAGCAAGCTACTTCCTTTCCTTATCTCAGAGTTGTCTACTATGACATAGAAAGAACAGCTTCCTGGACACAACCAGATTCACAGGAAGGGAGTAATCCCAGCGCAGTACCTGGGGAGCAAGAGCCACGAGGACAGCAAAACTGGAAAGGTGGAAGCACTGGCACGTGGTGTAAGAGTCGTTGCTGCCCACGTATGAGCAGCCCTCCGTGGACCAGCAGCCCCCCTGCTCCGATTCTTCCCAGTAGACACAGAGATGTTTCGTTCTTGCACCACTGGGCTGCAACGAGAACAGCGTGAAAATAGAGCTGCTGGTTTTGTTGTTGCAGCTGTCTAGGTTAATTGAGGAGTCGCTGGCTTGGAAAAACTGGATTGGGGAAATATCACCTGGAACCCTTGTGGGGAAGACAGTCTTATCCCCACACCTGCTGTGGGGTGCATCCTTCATTTTAAATGTCTACTTCTCTGATCAAGTCAGAGTCCCAGAAAGTGACCCTAGGTCTGCTTCTCCCACGCTCCTCGTCATTGGTAGAACCCATGAGAGGAACTCGTGAGTGGGAAAGGAAGTCAGGGATTTTTCTAGACTTCTCTGGAGGTTGTCTCCTTCTCCACCAGCGCAGTCCCTCTTCTGTGCCTCCAGCCCTCACTGGGCTCACCCACCTCTTTAGGCTTAAATGGCATCCTAGCTGGCGATCTCTGGCGCCTCCACATTTCTTATCAGTTCTCTTAACCCTGAGTGATCAGAGTTGGATTCAGTTCCCTCGAGGACCCCAGTGACACCTTCATTGCCCCTTTAAAGCAATGCAGAGGGAGCCGGCCAGGTCTTGCTCACCTCGGTGTGCTGGAAAGTGAGGAGCACAGGTTTAGACAGATGCACTTTTTCCCCAATGGTGCCGCTCAGGACACGGGAGTTCAGTTTCACTTCCTGCAGCCCTCTCCTATCGCTGAAAAAGGATCCATTCAGAACACTTCCAAGAGTGCGGTAGGTGATAAGTGCCACTGTGCCCCTCGCTGAGAAAATAGAAGAGAAATCGTGTTAGACCGTCTGTAGTTTGGGGGAGTCAGTACTCGAGTGTTTTGTGTAACAATCATATGGCAAACAATTTAGGGTCAAAAGTGGTCTCGGAAGTCCCTTAAATTGCCTAGTTGGTGTACTGCATACTGTTGGGGGTGCCGTGTTGGTACACGTCATACATATTGTAATGAACCACATGTTGTAAGTGACATATATGCAAAATACTCCATCAATATGTTGTAAAAATGCATGAGTCCTGGGACATTGAAATCAGAAAGTGTTTGCCCGATGGCCTGGGGGAGCTCAGGCGGGATGAAGAGACATTCCCATGTCCCACCTCCAGATCACTCTGGGGTATCTAATTAATGGAAAGGTATGCGGGGTGTGTGGTATTTAATTCATTCTCTCATCTCCTTCCCTCCCTTTTGTTTTTTTACTTTTTTTCTTTTTATTATTGGGTTATTGTTGTTGGTGTAATGCACCACATATGACGCAGGGGTGCAGGTCCACGCCTCTTCACATGTATGTTACCACAGCACACCCACCGCCAAGGCACCTAAGTCTCCTCCACAGTGGGAACAATTTATATATGCGACATTGCGGTCATTATTTAAATCCCTAAATGCTGCACAGGGCAAATCTTTTTATCTAGAGGTATTTTTAAACTGACATTTTCTGCCCAAAATACATGCTTCCATTTTTCACATTGTACTGGGTTATTGTTCTATGAATGCAAAATATTTAGCCCTTAAAAAAGGGTAAAAATTTAGGGATATACTCTTTCTTAATCTTAAATTATTGTCACTGGGAGACTTGGTCACAAATTGTTCATTTTCTAATAACTAAAGCAGCAACAATAAAAAAATTATTTTGAAAAGAACAACGCCACAATTCAATAATGTGAGGGTCAGGTCATTCTTTAAACTCAAGGTAGATTTCTTAATTTCAACTTTTAATTCCTATCCTCAACCTTTGTGAGTCCCCTCCCCCTGGCCCAGTCACCTAAATAGGAGACAACAGTGCTTAGGATTTTTGGAAGTCAGACACAGTACCTCCTGGGGTTCCTTTGAAAGCTTCAGTACAGTCGATAGTCATTGTGTTATTTCCAGCTTCCAGAAGAGTCTGCTTGTGTGTGCCATTGCATTGCTTGGTTTCAAAGACTGGAAACATTAAGAAAGTGAATCTTTGCTCATTTCTCATGCCTAAGAAATTATTTAAGAACTTCTTTCTTTGAAGGACGCTCTATCAGAGCAAGACCAGCTGGCACATGCGCCCACATCTCTGGCCAGTGGGGATGAAATGGTAAAAATTGCTTAAGCAATACACACTTGCCACACAGCCCAGGGGAACAGAGGGGATGGCCATAATCCCCCAGGCTGGAACCAGGGTGGGCAAGTTGAGTCTTTGCCACAAAATATTTAAAAGGAAAAAAAAAAAAATACTGATGAAATGCATAATGAGGAAGCAAGTTAAGTTTGTTTTTTTTAATAGATGACTGGATCAAGAAGATGTGGTACATATACACCATGGAATATTACTCAGCATTCAAAAAAGATAAACACATGCAATTTGCAGCAACATGGATGGCGCTGGAAGGGATCATGCTCAGTGAAATAAGCCAGAAAGAAAAAGAAAAATACCAGATGGTCTCACTCATAGCAGGAATCTAGAAAACTTAAATAAGGGACCAGGAAAATGAATAACTATAAGAAAATGAAAATGAAAATCAACAAAAAACTATGAACCAGAGACACTTTTTGGGGGGTGGGGGGCGGGAGGGGAGGGACTGGGGTCAGAATGGGGGGGTTGCAATTGTATGGGGAATATAAAAATAAAATTTATTATTTAAAAAAAAAAAGTTTTTTTTTTTGTTTTTTTTTTTTTTTTGTGGGACCCTTGCTGGCAGCCTGGGAACCAACCGGTACTACAGAGGCCTCTGGCAGCCTCGCAGCCCAGCACTCAACTGCTGCGCCACCAGGGGAGGCCCGCCCGCAAGTTAAGTTTTTAAGCCAGAGAAGTTAAGCATTGAAAATTTTCTTTTAAATCAGCAAGGAGCAGATCTTCTGCTTTGTAAAGAATCCCTTGGGTGAATTCTCTCTAAGTCTATAAACATAAATATCAGGTTTGACAAAATATCACCTGCATAAAAGTTTTTAATCATAAAAAAGTTCAGTGTTTCTTACTTATATCAGACATAGAACCTTCACTCTTGCCTAGAAGGCTCCCATTCAAAACACCCCTTTCCACACCCTGTAGAATTTCGGTAGCCTTTCTTGCAATGTCCTTTTTGCTATCAGCAGTCCTCAGTTCTTCCACCTGGAGACATAAAACCAATTAGGTAGATTCCAACTGATACTTAAGAAAGCCAGGCTACACCTTAGTGCTTGGGTAAGTCCAAAAGACTCTAAAACTTATTAAGGTACGACTAGGTTTTGTGCTACCAAACTGCCATGTGTGTTCTCATCTATCACACAAAGCCTCATGAAGGGTTCATCATTCATTCCATTGTGTTTATGAGAATATTAAGGCTCAAAGGATGAACTATCAGGAAACTATTAAGAGTGTCTTATGGAGGAAGATGGCCAAGGGGAAGTGACAAAGGATGGGATAAGGCTCCCAGTGCTTGATTCAGATCTTTGATGACAACTGAAGCATTTCAACCTTTTCCCAGGGTTTCTCAATCTCTCTTGACAGTTGAGACCAGAAAGTTCGTGGTGTGGGAGGGTATCCTGTGCATTTTTGGATGTTTAGAAGTATCTCTGGTCTCTAACCACTAGACCCTAGCAGCACCAGTTGCTGTTAGATACCAGCTGTAACCCTGGTTGTGACAACCAAAAGTGTCCCCAGACATTGCCTGATGTCCCCTGGGACAGAGGGCTAAGTCGCTCCTGATTGCTGCTGTGTTCTAAAAGTCATGGGGAGACATGAGCAGGGAAATGACCTGGTAAGAGTGGCTGTTTTCCAAAGCCAGGCTTAATGTCACTCACCAAAGTATACTCCCGTGGCTGTGTCTTCTTACCAGAGTCCTCTGGGAAATAAAAGCAGCTATTAGATGAAATATGGTCGATGACACAGCCTGGATCACATCCCTTCTTCCAATCACCCTCAAGTTGAGTCTTTCTCTGATCCTTCCACAGCCTATTTTAATCCCCCTCTAAGAAGTTCCAAATGTCTTCTAAGTAGAATTTTAACATGGAATTAGGGTGGGGCTTCTGGTTCAGTAATTCCACCAATATTATTAATTGAGCACTTTTTAAAAGTCAGGCAGTGATGTCAAGTTTTATGACTACAGGTTAATAAAGAGACAAAGAGGTTTGCAGTCTGGTGGGAAAGCACTAAGCAAAATAGACAAATAATTAAGTAATTGCAAGGAACCAACATGTTCTTCAACAACAGGATAAAATGACCTGGGGTACATAGAAGAGGATCCTAGTACATTGGGGGGCACAGAAAAACTTGAACTAAGAAAAGTGTAGTAATACATGCAGTTGTCTACACAACATAGAGATGGCGGTTGCTGCCATGAGCCTGAATGAAATCTGGGGAAAGATCACCAGGGACAGCAATGGGATGAAGGACAACAGCCAAGACAGCTCCGCTCTCATCCTGGCCTGAAAACCATAGACCTCTCAATGTCGTCCCACCCCCTCACTTTTCATGATGAAGAGAATATTTGGACATTCCTACCATAACACTCTGGATGATCCATTCGAATGACAGCAGCCAACCAGTAGATGAGATTATTTGAGAGACAGCTGCAGTAGTAACTTCCAATAGTGTTTCTGCAGTATGAAATGTTCTTGCACTTTGCTGGTTTAATCTTACACTCATCAACATCTATCAATCAAAAGAAAGTGTTAGTTTTCATTCTCATAGAACTATACTATTCTCCCTTGTTTATGGAATCTCTACCACCCCTCATGCATAAATGTACCCCAAACAGCATAGCCTTGGATAAGATGACTCAATGCTCAATATTATAAACATGATAGGTCTCCTTAAGTTGTTTTACAAACCCAATATGATTCCAATAAAAAAAACCTATGCACTGGTTTTATGGAAATGAGTTGATACTATCATGCAAGAATAGCCAGAAAAACTGAGATGGAGATGAACCTTCCCAGATATGAAAACATATTATAGACCCTCAACAGAACCATGAAGAGCTGGTGCATGAATAGATCAACAGAGCAGTGGAATTGACTGAAAGTCCAACTACATACGGAGCTTCAGGATATGACAGTGACCTGTCAAATCGCTGACATGTCAGAGGTGTCAGCTAACAAAAAACACCATTTCTTGGAACTTGACCCAGGGCCTTCTACCTTCTTCCACAGGAAAAAAAAAATCAGCATGAGAATGAGAGTGGAAGCAGGACAGAGGGTAAGGCCTTCTTGAAATTCTTACCGAGGACTTTACACTGAGATGACCCTGATATTTTCTCTCTTGCAGTATGATTGCATCTTTGCAGAATGAGCCTTTTGGGGCCTGGAAGAAAGGTCCTGCCCTGATCCAAACTCCAAGATGAGTGTGGGTTGTTTCTTTACCTTCACATTTCTCCTTGGGCTTGGTGATGTATTTGCCCCTAGACACGGACGACTGAAATCCATCTTCACAGACACACAGGCTGCTGTTGTCGGGTCTGGCATTTTCAGGGCAGAGGGGATGGAAAACTGTGGAGAACATAAGCTTTCCTTTACTTACTCAGTCATCGCTCAAGAAATATTCACTGAAATGTGCAACGTACCATTTACTGTGCTTTCACGAATGTCCTCTTGGGATGAAGTCCGTTGGCATCCTTTTTGCAAACACCCCACTACTGAACACAGTACCCCACACATATCCCACTTCTTCTGCCAACACCACTTCTGTGTGACAGGACTTTCAACTGTCAGCACCTGATTTCTTTATCTGAGGGCTTTCTCTGGCCACCAGTGTCCTCCTAGCTCACTGCATGGCAAATTAACAAGTCTCCTCCCCTGGAAGTTGTTCCCTCAACCAATAACCTACAAATGTCAGTGTCATTAAAAACTCAGCTTCCTTCTTGTCAAAAATAATTACAGAATAATAACAAGTGTTGGTGCGATGTGGGGAAATTATAATCCTAATGCGCCGCTGATAGGAAGGTGAAATGATGTGGTTATTGTGGAAACGGTATGGCAATTCCTAAAATGAATCAAAAATAAATGTTTAATTAGAGTTACTCTATGATCCAGCAATTCCACTCTTGGGTATATATCCCAATGAATTGAAATCAGGGTCTTGAAGAGATATTTGTAGACCCGTGTTCATAGCAGCACTCAGTGTTCATAGCAGAAATAACAATAGCCAAAGGGTAGAAATAACACAAGTGCCCGTGAAAGAATAAGAGAAACAAAATATGGTCTAGCCACACAATGGAATCTTGGTCAATACATGGGGCAACATGGATGAACCTAGAAGACACTAATAAATAAAGAATTTGCTCACAGAAGAACTACTATGTGATTCCATGAATGCAAGGCACCCACAGTAGTCAAGTTCATGGAGGCAGGAAAGTAGGATGGTGGGTGCCATTGGCTTTGGGGAAAGAAATAAGGAGTGAGTGTTTCATGGGCATACCATTTCAGTTTTGCAAGAGGAAAAATGTTCTGTGGGTGGATGGCCGTGATGATTGCACAATAATGTGAATGTACTTAATGCCATTAAACTGTCGCTTAAACATGATAAATTTTATGCTATGTATCTATTAGCATAATTTAAAAAATAATAGGAGAACAACTTCCTTACCCACTGAGGGGAATAACACTTAAGTGCATGCTCCTTAGTGTCCAGCAGTCCCCAGGGACTGAATTTCCGAGTACCCACATGTAACCTGGTTGACGCTGGACTCTAGGGTGTCTCCTGTCTTCTCAGCTAATGTCCCAGCTAATGCCAAGCTGGTGCTTCCTGGAATCACCTCTTAGATAAATGAATTTCTCTCAAGTCCTTGTTTCAGAGCGTACATCTGGGAGCCACACAACCCAAGACATGCAGTGAAGGCAGAAGTATCTCCTAGTGTGATTTGGGACATAGATTTTTGAGAAAGAAAGAGCAGAACCCAACATCCACCAGCTGTATGAGGGTCAGTGGTCAGTGGAGATAACATGAGGATTGTCGTCAGAGTGACGTCACAAGGACTGAAGGAGTGCTAAGTGCAATTAGCTTAGCACTGAAGTGTGTGAATGGGGGGTTCCTGCTGTGGGTGACTGGCACTGGATCCTGCTGGAGACCCTCCAAGGGGCTGTAGCTAATGTGCAGTGCAAGGGCTAAAGAAATGGGGGTGATGATGGTAATGACGGAGAAGAAGGGACAGTCCTTGGAAGCTCCAAAGAGTAGATACAGAGCAGAAGGAGTTTAGTGTCCCTTCCTCTCCCTGGAGATAGGTACCCAATCCCCTTTCCTTGCCCCTGAGATGCCCTCCCAGGGGGAAACCATGTTCAGCCAAGTCTCTGGCAACGTGTGAGCAGCTCACCTTTGTAACTCCTCACTTCTGCCACTGACAGAGCCAGCAGGACACTGAGGCCTGGAAGAGAGAGAAGACATAGTTCAGATGGGAGATGCCCGAGGAGTCTGCTTGGCAGAAGCCTGGGTGAGGAAGGTGTTGTCTCCCACTGCCCAGTTACACATGTGCTTGATTCATTATAGTTCCTCTGGGCAGGCTATTAACACGAGGGCATTAGGGGAGGGGCAGGAGCACTGGCGCACAAGAGGAACATTTGATTGCAACTGGAAGAGGGTCTTCGCTCAATTCCAGGAACCCCACTCATTAAACCCCAACATCTGAACCCCATCACTCTCACAAAAAGGCTTCATTTTTAACTCCTATACTGACTCCTGCACAAATTCTTTCCTGCTCAGAAGTCAAGCACCTCCAGGGCCCCTCAGCACTCTGGGCCCCATCAGAAGTGTATGCTCTGGGGCAGGTTTGCATGCAGGTAACGTGTCGTGCCTCTCTGGAACCCATGGGAGGCAGCCAGAAGTGCCTGGGAGTGACGCCGGGAGTGGCGCTGGGAGTTGCTGTCCATTGGAAGATAAATAGCCTAACTTCCTCGTCTTCCTAAGGCACATTAGCTACTGCCCCTTGGAGGGTCTCCAGCAGGATCCAGTGCCAGTCACCCACAGCAGGAACCCCCCATTCACACACTTCATTATCTGGCATTTCCTAATCTTCTCTTATGCTTCCTGAGATCCCCTCCCAGGGAAACCAAGTATATCCAAGTCTTTTTTGGGGGGAAAGCAACTAAGAGACTCAGTATGAGCATTTCTAATGAAACAGACACACACAGTAATTTCTGGAGAAAGTGCCAAGGTTTGGAGAACAGCCAAAGCTAGGAGACTGGGAGACGGGCACTTGGGAAGAAGGGTGTGGAATTCTTTAATCCACTCACCTGAGAGCAGGGGCAGACACCTGCTTCCCATAGCACTGAGATGCCAGGACAAAATCCGAGAAGCCCTCAAGGAGGATGTGGCCGGGGTCCCTGGAATGAAGAAACCCCATGAGTAACCATTTCCTATGGTAACAAAGTGTAGAAACCAAGTGACTGATGCTTGTCAAAAACTTTTCAATTTTGCCTGTGTTTTGACCCAACAATGCCACTTCGGGGAAATTATCTCCCAAAAAATGGTGCTACAAGATTGATCATAGCAGAGCCGCCCATAGAAAACAAGCTGATGGCCCAACAGGTGGGGAATGAGGAGGTGCATCTCACAGAGAACCCCGCTGGAATTTAAAATCCTGCTGTTCTATTGCCAATCACGAAGATGCAGATTGTGGGAACTTCCACAGGGCCATTTTCTTCACCTTTTCTTTATAGAAAATGTAACACTATTCAGCTATGAAAAAAAGATACACTTTTATGAAATAAGTCCCAAAGAGAAGGACAAATATCAGATGGTGTCACTTATTTGCAGAGGATAGAGACACCAAAGGGTCAGATACAGTCAAACTAATAACAAACCCTAGAAATCTGACTGTAGATCCGAGGTTACCAGAAGAGGGGGGGGGGAGAACAAAGTGGGAGTCATTATGCTATTATTACTGCAATTGTGTATGTTTGAAAGGTTCCTTAATGAAAAGGGAGAATGATTTCATTAAAGGCATGCTGTTAACTAATTCTAATTGTGGATCTAGATGAATGATAAATAGACAGAAAGATGGTAGATAGGTAGGTAGATGATAGATGATGATAGACTAGATAGATGATAGATAGATAGATAGATAGATAGATAGATAGATAGATAGATAGATAGATAGATAGATAGATAGATCACGCCGAACTGCTTAATAAAAACTCGCCATTTTTCATGCATGCTGAAGCATGTCAGTGTGTATCACGCTCCCCCGTAATACACACATTCCTTGCCCAAGTAGAAGTGGGGAGAAGAATGTAAGACAGATGCCCCATCACAGCTTCTTTCAACACACACACACACACAAAACCCAAGGACAGAACTGTGTGCTAGCATTTGTGTAAAATAACAGAGATAACAAAGAAAGTGTCGGCACACTACACATGGTTATGATATCATCTGACTGCCTTTGGCTAGCACCTAATTATGGGTTAGGCACTGGGAGATAATTACTCAATACACAGGCCTAAAAGATTCCAAATTTAGAACTCTATATTTCTATATTTATAACATATATATAACAGATATCAGGGACACTATCTTCTCTATTTTATGCAAATGGGAGCCATCTGTATACTATCTACATACAGGTGTACTTATGCCAATGCAGCCATATATGTATATATATATGTACAAACATGTACATTCATCAAATCCATGTATATATGTTTATGGGTTAGTACTCGCATGAAATAATTCTGGAAGATGCCTAAGAAACTCATGTCAGTTGCCTTTGAAAACTACAGGAAAGCAGGGGCAAGGAGATTTTCCCATCTCATCCTTTTGTACCATTTGAATTTTGAACCAAGAGAAGGTATTTCATGTTTTTTTTTTTTAAAAAGTTAAAGTTAATCTTAAAGAAGAAAACAATGAAGGGACTAAGCATGCTACAAATGAACCTTGCAGAAGACTTTAAAAAAGCAATACAGTTAATATTCACCCGAAGAAGATAATTTCAAAATTTAAAAAGCACTGTCCTCGGGAGATGGTAGTGAACAATTAAGGTTTCGATAAATTTTGTTTTATTTTTTTAAGATTTTTTTTATATTCCCCATAGACAAATTTTAGATAATAGGGGATCGTTAACTCCAGTCACCACACCATACACCTGTCTCTAGACTTACTACCGCTTGCCTAACAGAAACGTTGTACACTTTGATCAATATCTCCACACACACACACACACCCTCTCCAGTCCCTGGCAACCACCACTCTACTCTGTGCCTCTGTAAGTTTGGCTAGTGTAACTTCCACCTTTCACATATAAATGAGATCACATGGTGCTTTCTGCGTCCAGCTTACATTATGTATCCAGAAATACTGATTTAGAGATATTTTTGGCCATAACCCACTGAAGAAGAGAGAGAGAGAGAGAGAAGAGAAACAAGTATTATAAATCAATTATCACTTTATGTGGCATCTGCTATTTTGTAATTGTAGTCCTTTTCACTTCCTTTAAAATATTCTTTGTTACTCATTAAGTTTCACGACCCCATCCACCACCATTGGGTCATAAGCAATGGTTGAAAAATACCTAATTAGGCCATGAATAAAATAAGCATTCCTTCCTCTGTGAGACTGACATTTAACTAGGCTGATGCTTTTATTATGGAGACGTGTGGCAAGTGATAATTCATGTTAATCCACTATGGACCTCAGTAAACTCACCCTTCTTTTTAGATCTTGTTTATTACCTTGTAAATAACAAATAACCTATACACCACATTTGATTCAGACTGTTTCTTGCAACTTTCTCATTTCAGTTCACGCTGAACTGCTTAATACAAATTCGCCATCTTTCATGCATGCTGGAGCGTGTCAGTGTGTATCACACTCCCCCGTAATACACACATTCCTTGCCCAAGTAAAAGTGGGAAGAAGAATGTAAGAGAGATGGCGCTGTCACAGCTTTCAATAAATAAAAACAGGACCTGTAATAGGCCTTCTTGAAAAATTTTCCAGTACCAGAACATTTTTCTAGACCCACAATCACAAGTGAAACATTTCTTATTTTCCATGGAAAGATACTAAACCAGTTCCTACTTACCCACAAGATGACAAATCCTTGCTTCTCAGCCTAGCAGATTCTCAGAGTGAACAAAAGAGGAAGCTCTTGCTTTTTATCTTGAGCAGCAATTTCTCAAGGAGTCTTGTGGGTGGATGGGAAGGCTGAGGTGTGGCTGGAGAGTACAAAATGCAAGGTCCATTAGTTCTCTTTCATTAGAGTAACTTTAGGTAGTACATTACCAGGGTGGATGACATTATTAAAGTACCTCCAAAAATATGTTTGGAAATGGTGATGTTATCTAGTAGAAAAATCAGATAATGGAAAATGGCAACAACTTCCATGTATGCCAAGGAAAGGATATGACCTTGAATAGGTCCTTCAGTCAGTCTTGAAAGCCGGAGTATGCGAGATAGTGTATCCATGTACTTCCCAGCTCCCTGTTTACCATATCCCATCTCATTGTATCACTGCAGGGAAATGACTTGCCTGTATTCTTGGTCTTTGGAATAGGGCTACCTAACATGATCACACTCATCTACTTGCCTGGTAAAATTCCTGATGGGTCTCGTTAGCATCACATCCTGAAATTTCCTTCTTGTCTGTACTAGAAGAATCCTGGTAAGATCCAGCCCAGGTTGGGCAAAAACCCGTTAGTTTTACAAGTCCAAGTGCGCACCTAGTGATTTACTCCTCGTCTTGGTTTTATCACACCTGAAATATAGTCTTATTATCCCTAATAGTAACATCTACCTTCTTTTGGTTTCCCATTTATGTATATAAACTAATTAGAGCCAATGCAATGAATATTCGGATATGTACCTGGAGATGGCTGTCTAGGTAAGCTGGCATCCGACTTCTCTAGGTGATACTCAGAATGTTTTTCCTGAGTGGCAAATGAAGGAGGGTTTAGGCTTATCACTGGCAGCTGTGCTTTACTGAAAATTGTCTGAGTGTTCACTGAAATGCCTAAACTCATGAAGAGTCCCCAAAATTCTGAGCATTCAGTGTGCTGATAATATAATTCTGCATGTGATCATTTGCACAAATAGAAGCAATAATTAAACAAGGGTATAGCACCCAATATTATCATTTTCAGACAAGCTGTTGCAAATTAAGCTGTTAAACCAGCTCAGTATCAGATACTTGGAACTCAAACCCTGAGACCCAACTTAGAGAGCCCATGCAATTGCCCACTTATGTCACCCTAACTTCTTGGGAGTCAAAGCTATTACCCTAGTGTTAGGGGGAAAGGATGGCCTGAGCTAATTCCATACAGGCTTTGTGGACTCCACCCCGACTCCAGGCCAAAGCCATCAAGACACTGGGAAAGACAAATCCCATCACCACCAAAGGGAAGTTCGCTGGGACCTGAGGGTGGAGTTAAGCAGCAGGTTTGGTATAAAACCAGACACGTGGGCCTTGGGGGCGCTCTCTTCTTGGCTTCATGGCTCTTGGCTCACCGCCAGTTCTCAGAGTGCCATTTGGGATTCCAGATGGGCGGATCAGGTAGGACTCATTTAAGACTTTATCTCCCACTTTTCTCCCTGAGTTGTACATTTCCTCATTTCCCCTTCCCTTGTAAATAAATCTTTTATTAACCTTTTGTGCATGCCTGCTAGTGGAGTACTAAGACCCTTTTAAGCGTGGGTGAGGACCCACAGTCAGGCAATCCATTTTATATCAGGGCTGCCCTGTAACACTAGGACTATTGATCCAGGGCAGAGATACTAACCTGCTAGGATCTCTCCTTAGGATGGGACTCTAACCCAGAACCTTCAGGAGACCAGTCTCTTTAGGGTGGGACATGAACTCACAATCCCTGGAAGAGCAAATGAGGTGCAAGCACTTACAATGAAGTCACTCACCCATGAGAAATTTGTTTCCAGACCTTTCTTCTCTTAAATTGTAAATCACACTGAGTACCTGGAGCTCTGAGACTTAGTAGGAGTAATCCAGACATTAAGTCTCAGAAAAAAAATGGACTAGATGATCACTTAGGTTCAGTAAGAGAGAACGCTTGCCCCACTGGGGATACAGAATCTTGAGCAGGGGATCCTATCTGGGGTGTCTGATTTGTAACAAGCCGAGGGGCTCTCTGCCTAATGCACACAAAGCCATCCTATGAAAAAATTTATTTTCAAGTCTACTGGCAAAAAGACAGGAATTAAAACTCACGTCTCTCTTGCCACCTGAGGAAAGTGAAAGGGCTTAAATCAATCTGAGAGAGCAAGTTTGAAAACAAAGGGGTTAAATTTTATTGGCTAAGAAAAATTTTATTGGCTAAGGAGCAAAGGAATGTAGATAGTCACACACAAAAGAGAGAAACTAGAACACTATCACCCACCATACATGGAAATCAACTCAAAATGGATTAAAATTGGAGCGCGCGGGTGAGGACCCACAGTCAGGCACCCCGTTTTGTATCGGGGTTGCTCTACAACAAAACCACAAAATACACAGAAGAAAACAGAGGAAAAATACTCTACCACATAAGCTTCGGTGATACCTTTGTGGATTTATCTCCGGCAGGAAGGAAAACAAAAGAGAATATAAATAATTGGGACTAGTTAAACTAAAAAAGCTGTGCAGCAGAGACTGTAACCAAAATGAAGAGACACCTTACTGAATGGGAGAAAATATTTGCATACCATACATCAGACAAGGGACTGATATTGAAGATCTACAAAGAGCTTATTCAACTCAACAAAAAGAAAACAACCCAATCAAAAAATGGGCAGAACTAAACAGGCACTTCTCCAAAGGAGACATGCAGATGGCCAAGAGGTATGTGAAAAATGTATATCATCACTTATCATCTGGAGCATGCAGATCAAAACCACAGTGAGGTAACACTGTGCTCATATCCTGAAGACCAGAAACAATACGTGCTGGCGAGGGTGTGGAGAAAAAGGAACTCTCTTGTACTGTTGGTGAGAATGTAGACTGGGCCAGCCCCTATGGAAAGAAGTGTGGAGATTCCTCAAAAGGCTAAAAATGGATCTGGCATATGACCCAGCAATTCCACATCTAAGCATCTACACACAGAACATGAAAAACACTAACTTCTAAGGGAAACTTGTACTCTTTCATAGCAGCACTATTTACAACAGCCAAAATATGGAAACAACCTAAATGCCCCAAAACAGATGAGTGGATCGAGATGATGTGGTATACACACACAATGAAATACGACTCAGCTATCAAAAAGATAAACTTATGCCATTTGCAGCAACATGGATGGAGCTAGAAGGGATTTTACTGAGTGAAATAAGGCAGGAGAGAGATGAACTCGAGATGGTGTCACTTACATCTGGACTATAGAGAAACCAAACAAGGCTCAGACAAAACCAAACATTAAAACCAACCCTTGAAAGCTGAGCACAGAACTGAGACATCCAGGAGAGAAGGGGAGGGTGGGAAGCAAATGTTCTATGGTGGAGGATTATGGGTTCTTTGGTGGTAGGAGAACTATTGTGGCCACACCTGAAGGAGATATCCCATACTGTCAAAAAATTAACAAGAAAAAAAATTTAATGGAGCTCCATTAAAAATAATAATAATAATTAAAAAGAGAACTGAAGTCCGTTGGATAGAAATAAATGGACCTATTGGGGGGAGATCCTTTTTCAAATGACTAGATTCTCCTGGTCTTTCTGAATGTGATCTGGGTGGTCCTTCTTCTTGTCTTCTTGACTCCAGGAGTTTAAGGTCAATTAGTTCTGTGCTTGCAGGCTGGATGACTCATAGCCTGGTGTTATGCTCTGCTGTTTCTGCAAGACAAGTTCAAAAGAGAGTTAACCACACCCTACTGTTCCTGCTGAAGGAGATCAGCCTTCTTGCACACCTCCTGCATACATGGGAGATGTTCAGGAAGACTGGTTACTCAACAAAATGGCTTAGTTCACCACCTTAAATACCTTCAGCTAGGAGCAAAGGATGTTGGGGAAGAGCAAGGGAAAGGTCAGTCATGGAGGTCACCGGGAAAGCAACAAGGGCATGAACTTTATGCAAATTTAAGTTGCAGCCTTTAACACTGACAAGAGGTAAAGAGATAAGGTCTTCCCCAAACAGCAAGGGAAACACCCTAAGAAAAGATTTTCCTTTACTCCTGTAAATATCTTACGAAAGGGTAACCTCCACCCAGCTTTCAGAGCCCCTCCTATGCTTCTGCCAAAGAGATATATTTTTAGAGTGGCAGATTTTGCTCCCCTATACTTTTTTGGAGAGTTTGGATGCAAAGCCCCAGAGAGGAACATAGGGATACAACAGAGTGACCCCACGAGCCAATAAACAGAAATAGTGAAGCTGTTGGACAGAGAATCTGTTACTGACCTTCTTTAATGCCCCTTAGAAACCCCCTCTTTCCTTGGTAGAGAGAAGACTGTCACTATCACAGAACACCAGGCCACTTCACAAGCCAAGCAAATGCTCATCCTAAGGAGCAACAGACAAGGCAAGACCACCTCTTGAATGCTTAGCAAGAAGCCATTCACTTTGGGAGACTGAAATAATCAGCTCTCTGTGTGGGGAGATCAGAGTGAGGCCGGAGGCAGGGGGTGGGGGTGTGGGGGAGGGTGAAAGAATTCAGAGTGGAGAACAGAAAAGAGGGACTTATTTAAATACACTAAGAGAACCAGCGGGAGAGACAGGAGAGATCTGAGCCCTAAGAAGGAGCAGGATTTGGGGCTCCTTCTTATTACCATTTCCCATGGGCTTTTCACGAGTCAGTTGGCCCAGTTAGTGTTGGGGTGTCTGGTCTTGGGCATTGACCTTAGACCCAGAACGTGTCCTGGCCTGGCTTCCCTGCTCAGGGTAAAAGTGATCAGTGTGAAGGCCTGGTTCCCACAGCATCATTTTCAAGCCTCCCAAACCTTTCTGCTGGGCAAGGGGTGGGGGCTTAGAGTTTAACCTTATTAAATGATACCCTGACATGCTCCATCCTTTTCCACCCTGCCCTGTGCACTGGGAGATCGCTCCAACAATGCATCATGAGGTCCTTCTCGTGTTTGTCCTGGAAAGACAGACTCCTGGAGGAGAGAGAGGCCATGGTATATTGATTTCCCTAGCTCCTCCTTTCC